CTTCTGGGGATTGGCTGGGACAGGTCCCCCAACTGCCTGGGGGGTTCTTACCCCCTCTCCCCTGTATTGGGGGCGGGGCTCCTCACCCAGGTATTGGGGGCGGGGCTTCTCCCTATTGGCCTTGGGCCTGTGGGGGCTGAGAGCTGCACTGCTCTGCTATTGGTCCTTATACTTGGCCACCCTGAGCCTGGGCCTGAACAGGAAAATGATAATTAGGAAGAGCTCAGACTGGAGGAGGGAAGGGGCAGGAAGGTGGGAGACTTGAAGTAACCCTGGTAGAAGCATTGTTGTTGAAACTTTCAAAGACATTGCATTTCAAGGAAGCTTGTACAGTGTGTACGGTCACTGCTTTTCGTGCCAACAGAGCCTGTTGGAAAAGCAGCTATAAGTGCAACGTGCCACCAATGCTTCAAGGTGTCTGTATCAGGCCCCTTAACAGCTGGCAGGTGATCTTTGTCTCAAGTCTGTCTTTGCTCCACCATCTCTTGAAACAACAGAAATCAAAGCCAGTTGATTTAAACCCTCAGTACAGCTCTGGGAATGACAGCTGTATCCCAGCCCTAACAGTCCAAGCTGACTTTTTGTTTTTTTTTAAAACATCCCAACTCAGGTCCCATACTGAACTTTTCTTTGCAAGTCAGTCCTTTCCAACTGGAATGTCCGGGTCCTTGTATCTGCAGCACTGGCATTCGATCGTGACACACACACACTCTTTGGGTCAGCAGCCATGTGCCACCAGCCTCAGAATCTGAAACGCACACCCTTCACTCCCCCACTTCCCTCTCCTGAAAGAATTCTGTTTGAGAGTGCGTGGTGAGAGATGAGACTGTTTTAAGTAAAAACGGTTTAGCACAGTCAGAATTCAAAGCAAAATTTTTTCCTGGTCTTGTAACACGCCTGAGGGAAAGGCCTTCTCAGTGGGAACAAACCACTTGTCAGAATGACTATCTCCAGGCCCTCACCCATCTAAGACCCCAGAAAGTCTCAGTTAAGAGATGGAAACTCCTGAACTGAGCAGGAGAAATATTGTGGGTTAAAAGTGCCATGTGCTCAAACACAACTCAAGGTGCAGAATTCAACTGCATAACAATAAAACCTTTAGCGAAAAAGCAAATTAAAAAAATAAGTGACAAAGTGGGAAGAAAACACTTTCAACTCATCTTAAGCAGAAAGGCTGACCTCCCTAATTAACAGAGCCTGTAGCAGTGATGAAAGTATCTCTGAAAGGACCACATCAAAGCTGCAGACATAAGCCCCTTACAGATGCAAGAGGATCGTGGGCCGAGATTTTACTTGGTTCACAAGGAAACACGTGAGATGTTGCAGCAGGTTCCAAGCAGGATCGCAGGACACGCATACACAGAAAACAGGAATTTTGCAGTGAACTCACAAATAGGAGTGATACAGGTCTATTCACAGCACAATAATCAGCTGGGCCCGTGGGGCACAATTTGCATTTATATGGACAAGAATAATTCGTATTATCCTCAGTTTTCTACAATTTACAAACTGTAAAGTAACTCAAAGACAATAAAAGGCAGAGAGAACCTGGGTAGGTGAGCTGGATGGCACAGCCAATAAAAATCTTTCACACTATTTCCTAGGAAGTTCAACAACCCAGTAGTCCAAGGGACGGGAACAGTTCGCAGACAAGAGCAATACCAATGGCCTTCTGAAATAGTCTCCAAATGCTTGACCTTTCCTACAACGAGAGGAATGCTATCAAAACCAACACCTTCTGTTGGTGAGGGTGAGAACAGATGTGACAGCCCCTGGCCCTGTCTTCCAGAAACCCGCTTGCTTGTTACATGTCCTCCCTCACATCAGAAGTGGGCCAGGTTTTGTCCCAACAAAAGCTGGCTATTTACAATACCGAATGGCTGGAAGGGCTGCATGTCCACTGACAGGAAGGGCATTTCTTGAAAAGGAAGACACACGTTACTGAGAGGGAGGGGCAGGACAGAGCACGCGGTGGGTGCCTGTGGGATCAGAAGGGAGGGTGGTAACAGATTCAAGAAACAAGAAAGAGGGCCGGCCGAGTGGCGCGATGGTTGGGAACTGGCTTGGGACGCCAGAGGGCCCCGGTTCGGATCCCACATATGAGGGCCAGTGACACTGCCCTCTACAGCTGGGATGCTGAACAACAGCTCAACCTGGAGCTGGGCTGCTGTGAGTCACTGGCAACGGCGTAGGCTGCAGCCCCTGTGGCACTGGGTTGCCATGGGCTACCGTATGTAGCCAGCAGCCAGCGTGAGCGGCCAGCAGCCAGCGTGAGCGGCCAGCAGCCGCAGTGAGCGGCCGTCCAGAAGCCAGCAACTGATCTGCCTCACCCGGGAAGAGCGCAATGATGGTGCCAACTTGGGCCAGTGAAGCAACGTCCTCCACAACTAGAATGAAGAACAAAACGACAGCAGCTTGTCTGTTCCCCTCCCCCCAATTCCCCAATAAAAATCTTAAAAAAAAAAAAAAAGAAACAAGAAAGAGAGACAGCAGAAACCAGTATAATTGTTACCTGTCACGGGCTCTGGGGAAGGGACACGGACAAGATGGGGGACATGGCTTCACAATGAATGCCTCTTTATGTAGTTTCCATATTTGGACCATGTGATTAGATCACCTATTTAAAACAGTGCATTTTTTCAGAAATGGTGACTTGGGTTTTCCTCACAGCCCAGGAAGGCAATAGAATCACCCCTCATGCGAGGTCTGCGCTGCTTCCTGCCTTTATCTCCATACCCAGCTTGTTGCCCTTGGCACTTTTGGGCCTCCCTACCCCCAGGTTCATGCTTTAAACCCAGAACTCCTCAAAGGCGGTGACACTGACATCAAGCCCAAGGCTGGGCTGTACTGAAGGTTCGCAGGAGGCAGTGATGGGCAGGAGCTTGCCATAGAAAGCGCTGCCCACAGGTCACCCTTTCACATGATGAAACAAAATGTTGAACACGTTATTACCAGAATACGGACTTGACCATTAAACAAACCAAATGGAGGCTTTAATCATTGTTATAAAGCATCAAAGAGCTTCTCAGGTTTCCCCACAGCCCCCTTCCCCTCCCCCTTCCCTAGACCTGGGGCCGGCAGCACACTTTCAATGTTCCACCCATGACCCTGACATTGCCCTTGTCATGCTCTAGCAGCTGGCCGCCACTCTGGATGATGAGAGCACCTGTCCTCGTCAGAGACCACACAAGCCAGCTGCTTTCGATTCTCAGACTGGGGGCCTTGTGACACCACCTACCCCACAGAGCGCCTGACTCCTTGGTGGACAAGCTGGTCACCTGCCATCGCCCAGGGGGGCAGAGGAAGTGCCTGCCTTTGCACTGGCCCGGCAAGCACAGACATGGGCCAGTGAGTGGCTGTATTGTACCCAGCCCCCTGTGGGGCAGGTCCAGCTCACCTTGGCCTCAGCACCACATGCTCCGTCCCAGACGTCATCTGCACAGCTGCCCCTGAGCAGCCACCTGGGACTGCTGGAGTGTGGGTCCTGATGAGGTCCTCCCAAGTTTTAGCTGGAGGGGAGGTACCAGGCCCCATCGGCCTAGGGGCTCGTGTGCCCTCTGAGGCTTGCAGTATCCCCTTCACCTTCCTGCCCTGCCTTGTCCCAAACACCTGCGGCTGCACAGACCGGGCCCCTCTTGAGTGCTGTGACACTTGCAGCCTTTCTTCCCCCTTTGCCATTTCACCGCCCTAATGTGCTGTTGGCTTATGGGTAAACTGCCTGTCGGCCGAACACATTATTTCTAATTCCTCCCCCTTCTCCTTGTCATCCTTCATCCTCTCTCTACTGCCAGTCATTTGTCACAGGGCAGGGACATTGGTGCCCAATGAGGTGATCAGAATGAACACATCCAGCAACAGGCCCAAGGGGCTTTTAGGGCACACTGGCACTTTCTGGATGATGGAAAAAGCAAGTTCACCACGTTCCCACTCATTCTGTCACCCACCTCCAGGAGGGCTGCGAGCCCTTGTCACGCGGCCCTTGATGCCACTTACCTGTGGGGAGGTCCTCGTCAGCGTGTTTACTGAATGTGCGCTCTGGGCAGAGCAGACAGCCCTGTCCTCCCAAGGAAGCCGATGGGTCAAGAGACAGTTAATACGCGTCGATACTTCAGGAAACAGTATCAGGGCCGTGCTCTGAGGCATTAGGGAGCATCATTAGGATGAGGAACAACAATCGACCACAACCAAACTACTGCTGTGTCCCAGGAACTCGGCAATGTGCTGGGGACGCAGGACATGGCATCACGCATGGAGCAAGGCCACGCTCACACCCAGACACGCACACATGCGGTGCAAGGGCCGTCTCTCTCAGTCATCTTGTCTGTACTGGACCAGCCTGTCTGCCAGCCACCCACTTCCATCTGCCCGGAGCATCGTCCCCAGCAAGTACGGACTCATCCTGAATATAATCAGGGGGCGGGGGGCCGAGGGGCTCCAAGGCCGGCACTTGAGTTCCACCGACTTCCATGTGCATAACACTTATCTTTTTATAACCTTTAGGCTGAAGGTCAGTTCACCTGCCACTGCCTTCCAAAAGACAAAGCCATACGAATGCTCAGATCTTGGACAAAACACAGAGCTGAACAGAGAGCTCAGGTTGGAACAGCAGGCCGGACCTGCTTCCTGACATGCGAGTGTCCCCGCCGCACGAGTGCGGGGAGTGTTTGTGCACAGGACTCGTGCTTCCTCCTTGTCCCCAAACTTACCAATAATCAGAACACGTGCAGCAAAATGGGAACAAATATATTTAGATATATTTAAGAGAATTAAAAAAAAAACCACAAAGATTTCATAAAACATTTGCTGCCATAGGATTATTTTAAGAAAATAAATGCCCACATCAAAATTCAAACATGTTCAAAATATGATGATCTGTGCTGGTAAGTAACGTGGCAAATCATGGAAGCAGAGTCAGAGACGTATCCCATGTCGCTGTAGGGGTCACCCGCCCGTGGACTGAAGCTGTCCCACAGTTTTCCAGGGGACCAGTGAAGAAACTATTTTCAGAGCAACAAAAATAAAAGCTTTTATTTGTTCATTTGAATATAAAACAGGCGTTATCACAGATGTACAAAGCTTACTGGTGGTTCAACATACGAGAAGGTTGCCGTCCTTTGCACATAAAAACTGTGTGAAACCATGACTGGTCCAGTACATGAACTTCCCTAACCAGTCACCACACTATGAAATAACGCTGCTAACATTCAACTGATAAAAGGGACGGTCTCCGGGGTAAAGTGTCAAGCAGGGTTAGGTATCTATAATAAACAAGCACCATGAGGAAGCCGCCCTGTTGGGTCAGGTCTGTGTTTCAATGTTCGTATGTGCCCTCCTTCGTGCGAGCTGATCAAGCGGATTTGTCTGACTTCAAAAGCACACGAGGGTCACAAGACAAACATTGGTGACATTCCCGTGAACGAGTTATCTACAGAACGATCCTTCTTTATTGCTGAAATGGTGGAAAGTGTCTCCTTGCCTCTTTCTTGCGTGACAGAGCTTTGACCCCAGTCCCCCACTCTTTGGACCTCAACTCCAACAGCAGAGGTGACAGGAAGTCACTGACACCGCCCCATCTGGCCTGGGGTGCTGACACGGGGAGGTGAGGGTCACGTTGGGAGTGACACATGACTTGCTGTTTCCGACCCTGCAATCATGTCTCCTACTCATTGCCTCCCCTGAAACCCTGGAGCCCCCCAAACCCAGCGGGCATGTAAGAACGCGTCTCTTCGGTGTGTGGTGGGCTTGCCCGTCGGAAGCAGGCGGGTGCAGGAATGTGTATCTGAGGCAAGTAGGGAAATGGTCACCCGCGGTGATGAAGTCAAACAATATTGTAAAAGCCCAGTGATTCGTGGACATGGAAGGGTGCACCCCTCATGCAGACAAACTAAAAAAATACGCCACTTAAAGTTTTGAGAAAACAATTAGACTTGGATCTCAGAAGTCAAACAAAACTTTCACCAAAGGGCTTGGTGCCTGTGTGTCAGCAAAGGCAGGTCAGACCTCGCCCATGTGCGGTGAGACAGCCTGGTTCTGCCCAGCTGCCATCTTGGTCATTCACATGGAGCCTCGGGGGCCCCTGCAGGCTCACACTGGGACAGTCACAAAACAGATGACGCTCGCAGAGCTGGCACCTGCTCCTGGCGGGACACAGACGCCGGCTCAGGCAAGGACTGTGCAGACGAGCTCTGGAAATGGGGCCCGTGAGGCTGCGGTGGCTGTGACAGATGGGCATCAGGAACGTGTCATCCACAGGTGGCTAGATGAAGGCAGCTGTGAGGCTTTCTTGCTCCTGCCAGTGGCTGTGGGGTTCCCTGTGGGGTTTGCTCACATGGGCTGGGGAACCCAAGGGCTGGCCCAGGTGACTGTCTCCTGTGAGTCTCTTCCCTTAAAGCTGTCCTGGACACTGTCCTCTCCACACGGTGGCCAGCTGAGGGGACTCAATGCAATTGGTTCAGGTGGCTGCAGAATATCATTTCTTTTCATACCAAGGACCAAAAAGGGTGACACTAACAAAAAGGATAAAAAAACACTGTGCAGCTAAGGGAGCAGTGCTGTGGGCCTCTAGCCTCCCCGAGTGGGCTCAAGGCAGTGAGCACACACTACTCATTCCATTGTCGTGTAACCCCCACAGCGAAGGGGGACATGCACTACCGCCTCAGACCCCTCACCGCCTTTGAGATGATCTACAAGAATGTCACTCGCTGGTCTCTGGTTCTGGAAGAAACGCTGAAACTGGGCTCCTTGCCATCTGGTTGCTCCCATCAGCAGAGTGGGTGTGAGAGTCTCTTATCTACAGTACAGTGGGGGGGACGCCATGCAAGTGACAGGGTCTGCGCGTTAGACTTTAAATCTCCTTTGTTCATTAGTGAATTTACATTTCATATATATATACTTGTTGTGATACTATCCACGCAAGATGATACAACACTTTTTATATTAGCAAACATTACAAGATTTTAATACTCTTGAATGTTCTTCTCTTTTATACTTCTAGAGAGATCAAAATAAATTAAACGTTTTGTACATAATTACATACGAAGAAGTTAACTTATTTCATCTTTTTAGTTTAGTACAAAGATATCTGCAAGATAATTGCCGAAATACACCTTATTTATAGTTTCTTCTCCTTCTATGCTAATATCAGAGGCCACGTGCGAGCCTCTGTTTCTTCAGCACATTTCTGACAGAAGCTGCTAGGATCTAACAGGAAGCTGCTATTTGGAAGGTTTCGTACCTCAACAGACTTTCCTAGAAGGGTGAGACCGAACCATGGCTTAGATTAGGAACAGGTCCATGTTGTTGTTAAGGTTTCATGACACATTAAAACAGAGAAAACAATTCTTTGTCACACTACATAAATTGTTTAAAGGAACCCACCTGGAGGGCAGAATATTGTTTAATTGCTATTTTGGCTTAACAAAATACCACATTTACGAAGAAAGCACTTATCCAATAATTAATAAAAAAAAACAACAACAAAAAACAAAGAAAGAAAGAAAAGTTTCCAAATGGGCTTTTCCACCAAACTGAAGGCAGTGACGTGAGGTCCCCTGAGCGAAGCTCGGTGGCGGGTCACGTTTGCTCCATCATGTCAACCAGGACCGCCATGGGAAGTCCCCTGCGCTCCGCCTGTGACACAGGCTCCGTCCCGCAGACATCGCCTTGGCGTCCACATTTGAGCGACACCGAGGAACGCACTGGCATGGGGGCCGGGCCCGGCTACATGTTGTAGGCCACGTAGATGGGGTCGAGCTGGTCGGCCAGGAAGCCGTCTCGCAGGTGCATGCGCTGCTTCTCGCCCCGGGAGTTGATGGGGATCACGCCTACGTCCACCACCACCACCACGCCCACCACTAGGTAGTGCTCCTCCAGCACCACGTTTGTGACCAGGGGGACCAGGTCCAGCGCCTCCTGTTCTGACCCGTCCAGCTCCACCACCACCACCAGCAAGTTTGTCCAGGTGAACACGGCGCTGGAAGAGAGAGAGAAGCATCACCATACGGTCTGCCTGAGCCCTGGCCATGTCCTCAAGCTCGCAGCCTCTCTGGGCCCATTTCCTTCAGCTCATGAGTGTGTCACACATGCCCATCACCAGCCTTTGTCACCGGCCTGCTCTCAGGGTGGCCTCTGTGCCTGTATGGCCCTCTGTCGCCAGCTGCTGTCACATGGCAGTGGGGGTCAGAGCCCCGCCCTGGATCTGAGCACTACGACTTTGGGATGAGCCTGTGTCCTGCCATTGAGCATGGGCAACATGCAGCATGGCCTGTGGGTGCAGACAGGGGCTGGGTCACCGATTCACCCTCATGTCTCACTGAGATCTTCCCACAGGTGGGTCACCCAGAATACTTAGTCTGCCCAGTTTGCAAAAGCCTAAGTTCAGTGCACTGCACGTTCAGCCACATTAACCTTACATGGCTGGGCTTTTGCAAAATGGGCCTTAAAGTTCATTGCCCCTGGTGCCAGGGTCTGCTTGGCTGCAGAGGCCAGGAGGGCCCCAGGGTGGGGGGCATGGAGGATGGGGCTCCAGGAGGTCTCTAGGGTGGGGGGACGTGGAAGACGGGGCTCCAGGAGGTCCCCAGGGTGGGGGTGTGGAGGATGAGGCTCCAAGAGGGTCTCAGAGTTGGGGGCATGGAGGACAGTTACCCATATCTGCTTTCTCACACCAGACACACAGAAGGTTCTATATCAGCTGAGAGGCAGGAAGTATTTAGAAAACTCAGTATTGTTTTCTAAAATGTGGAAGTACGTCCATTAGGAAAATAACACATTCTTTGTTCAGCATGACCGATATATTTATGTTAAAATGAAAGGGAAATAGTGGAAAATGTGCTCAACAGATCTCTCCTGGGTTTGTAGTGTGACCGTGTGTACCCCAAGAACGCCCATAACAGGGGTGTGACAGTAAAGCAGTGCTTTGCATGGCCTGGTGAGCCACACATGAGTGGTAACATCACATGTGTCTGTCTCAGCCACCTTGGTATAATTTTATCATGCCCTCTGAATTGGATGACACGTGTCAGGAGTCAGGTCACGTCTGGATTGAGCTGGGTTTGCTGGGCAGCTGTGGGCTGAGTAATGGTGACTTTCCCGTGTGTGAAAAGCTTTCCTAGGAGCCGTACGCGGCCGATACCCAGGACCAATGGGAAGGAAAAGATGTGCGACAGTGGAATAGTCATGTTATGTGACACGAGTGTCACCTCCCTTCTCATTCTGGGGGTGACCTGGAGGAGCAACATGGGCAGCTGCGGGCAGGTGGAGGCTGGCGGTGACGACAGCCGCTCCCACTCAGAGCTCCTGCTGCTGAGGCCCAGCAGGGTGGGACCACCCACTCTTCAGTCCTCCTGGTGCTGTGTGAATGTGGACCAGTGGAGGCCTACACCCACTGGGGGCCACGAGGCAGGTGACCACAGCGACGCTCAGACAGACACTAGGATCGTGGACTAGAACCCATGAGGCTGCACCAGGGAGCCGCGGACACAGGCTTGAGAGGCGGAAACAGGAAACATTTGAGGGAGGCATACCAGCCAGTCTGAATTATTTTCTTAAACAAGCAGCATGGGAGCCTGTAGTAGCCATTCACAGCTATGTGATGGAAACAGGAGGCCTGTGCTGGCGCCCGAGGGCAGCTCTGTGCCGGAGCAAGCGGGAGACGGTGTCTGAGCCATGGGGCCAGCGGGGGCGCAGCCCGTCCCACCGCCTCCAGCACCTGCCACGCCCTCGCTTCCCAGGACGCGAATGGCAGCAAACGGCAGCAAATGCCAACCTGCAACAAGCTAGCGGGAGGTGTGAAATCTCTCGGCCCGACCCAGCACGCCCGGAGATGCTGCCGAGGGACCCGGAGTGTCCCCTTGGGGCCCCTGTGCTGACACTGGCTTTCTCAGGCCTCTGGCATCTCAGGGACCAAATGAACAAGCAAACCTGTAGCCAATGAGGCTGGGACACTTCTTTTCTAAACGCCCCCTGAGGGCACTGCAGCCCCCAGCGCTGCCCTAGGACCCCGGGCATCGCCAACATAGGCCTGTCACAGACAGCCAGGTGGCCAAGCCGCAAGTCCCCATGTCCGCGCCTGTGGGGAATCGTGACTTGTCACTGTCAGCTTTGGTCTGATTTGGGTAATTGTGCCCCGCCCTTGCATCTAACGTCCTTCCACGTGTCACCCTAACTTTCGCGGTCCCCATGCCTACAGTCACGGGTGTCTCCTGTGACTGTGTGTGTGTGCGCAGTGTACCTTCCCTGTCTCATGCTTCCATGAACTAAAAACCAAATAAACAACAAATGTGTTACTGGGAGATGGGACCCAGCCGTCCGTCGGTCATTGTCAGGAAACGTGCAGCACACCAGCCCAATCTGCCACATCACAACCGAGGCGGGCTGACCATTCCCAGTACCACACAGATTGTGCCCGCTCTGGTGTGCGGACGCCCCCACTCACCATTCGGTGACGCTTTTGTGGGCTCTGATGACAGAGGTCTCAATGTCTATGGGGTGGTACCTCATCCCGCGTAGCTCCATGGCCTCATCCAGGGCCCCCACCACGTACAGGGCATCGTGGCGCTCTGTGCAGGGAATGAAAGACAGGTGAGCTGCACCACAAGCCACTCAAGCCCCTTAAAGAAAAGATTAAAGCGACTCCTAAGAGAGAAAGAGACGCAAAGAAAGGGGGTCACTGAGCTGGGGACAGCGACTCCCTCTGCGGGGCCAGCTCTCAGCAGAGGCCCCCAGGACACTGCCGGGCGGGGGCGCTAGCCCTATGAGGCACACCCTGCTGGCCTGGGTCCCGGGACCGAGCCGCTTCCAGGGTGGAGTCTGTCCCTGCCACACGCATCCACTGGCTCCTGCAGGCGGCACACGTGCCCTTGTCTTCATGGTGCTCCCCCAAGTAACAAGGTTGGGTCACCCCTGGTCTAACATCTATCTGTGGCTCACAGGACAGCACAGGGGATGTGATGACAACCTCGGCTCGCTGCTCTCAGCCGCTGGCAGCCAGCATGCATGTGATCTGCTGGCTCTGGGAACTCAGGCCCCACACAGAGGTCAGTGTCAGAGACCCAGCCCTTCACACCTCTGTGCATGCTCACCTCCATTGGCATCTGTGAGCTCTGTTCTCCGCAGGAAGCCCAAGTAGCCCGTCCGCGCCCACACAGTCTGGGTGTCCCCAAAGCTCAGCCTCGAGCTGAAGTGGTCTGACTGCAAGGATTCATCCCCGTAGATGGTGAAGTAGCCACTGGCATTGTGGGCACTGTGGACCCAGATCTGCGGGAGGACGCAGGGTAGGTCGGTGAGGGGCTCTCCAGGGCCTGCACTGCTATCACTGCAGTAACTACACTCAGTGACACAGAGACAGGACAATGTGTGCTCATCTGTCTCTGGACACACAGATGCCACAGAATGCGCCACGCAAGCCCACGGCCACCCGTGGGATTCTGGTGAAGGGGTGACAGAGGGTTTTCAAAATGAACACATCAAGTGGTTTTCTCGTACACCTTCAAATATGACAGCTGTCTCCAAACCGCAATGGAAAAGTGTGCAAGCACTGCCTGACTTGTCCCACTGGCCCCCGGCTTATTCCCCCCACCTGGCTTGTTGTCCCCCCGACCTGGTTTGCTCACTCTTAGAAATATACTGCAAAAAATAATGCACAACAAACTCTAAGAGGGAGAAGCTCTAACAACAGAAAATGGGAAGCAAAAGTGCCTGAGGGTAGTCACTTGGCACATGGGAAAGGATGAGGTTGGCCAGAAGTCACGACTGCGTGGGTTAAACAGTGCGTGGTAGCAAGAGAGGAAACCGTTATGCCAGCAAAGCTGCTGAAACCCTCACCCAGCTGCCTGCGATGATGCCTGTATGGTGATAGGATCGGGAGCCAGAGTGCATACAGCAAGGATGCGTTGGGCTGAGCGTTCCCATTATCTTCTTTACACTGAAACCTTCAAGCCCTTCGATATCACAAATACTATTGTGTGTACACTGCACCCAGGACAGTGTGTGGCACACAGTGGGTGCTCAATTGACACCTGCCCAACATAGGAGGGCACAGCTCTGCTCCCTGACACACAGTCCCATGAAGGGACCAACCAGTGTGGGCCCTCACTTGGCATGCCGCCCTCAGGCCCAAGCCAGGGCCACACTGGGGAGCCACCCAGCCAGGACCCTGTCCACATGCCCAGCAGCAACCCCAACGTCTGAAGCGAGTTTCTGGGATGGATCAGAAGGGAGTCACCAAATAACATCTGAGCAGAGTTTTATCATCTCAGCTCCAACTTCACATATGACCAAGAGATTCAAGTTAGGGGACAAAAAGCCTACGCAGAGGAGGAGCTTGGGGCGTGAGCAGAGGCTAGGGCTCACATGTGACCTGTATACCCACTGACATGTGCCACTGTGGGTGCCACCCCAGGAAAAGTGGTGCTCGTGTGTTTTCGTAACATGTCAGCCACAGGGACAAGCCTGTGTGCGGCTGGAGCCCTTCCATGGGAGGGAAAGTTGACAGCACAGGGTAGGGGACATGTACAGCAAGGATGTCCCTGCTGGGCAGGCTTGACCTTGGATACCCCATAAGTCCCCTCCCCCAGTGAACACCCCCTAAGTCTCCTCAACCAGTGGGCACCCCCATATTACCTCACCTGGTGGATACCCGTTCAGTCTCCGCAACTGGTGGACACCCCCTAAGTCTCCTCAACTGGTAGACACCCCTATGTCACCTCACCTGGGTGGACACCCCATAAGTCTCCTCAACTGGTAGACACCCCTATGTCACCTCACCTGGGTGGACACCCCATAAGTCTCCTCAACTGGTGGACATCCCCATGTCACCTCACCTAGGTGGACACTCCTAAGTTCCCTCACCAGGGGACAACCCGTTCTTACCTCACCCAAGTGTGAGTCTCCCAGTGGCCCTTTTGTTTCTGGATTGGCGATTATGATCCGAACCCCCGGCAGGATCTGCGTGAGGAAGAAGATCCCCATCAGCAAACAGGCAGGCAGGCGCCACACAGCAGCTAGCCCTGCTGCCTTCATGCCCATCGTCCTTTCTGAAATTGTTTGGGAAGTGGCGTGGCTTTAAATCAAGATGGCACAACTACAACATTTCACTGTAATTGTCACTACTACAGTAGAACCCGTGTCACAGTGATCTCAAAATTAGGCATTGAACGAAAACATGATAACGAATGTAATTTAACACAGCCTGATGCTTTCAAATGTGGACGGAAAGGGGTCCCAGGGAAAGCACACTCATAGGTGGTCTGAATAGAAACTCCTGGCTGGGTGGGTCACTGGGGCAGTCTGCCCCAGGCCTGTGGCTTCCTTAATAAAAGGCTCATCTCTGCCGTAAGCCAGCCCTGCCCACGGCTATGTGCACCTGGGCTCGCACGCCTTTGAACTACGTGTGACACCCCTCACGAGAGCCCGCAATCATGTTAGCTATCCCGCAGCCCAGTCCCATCATGCCCCCACCTCCTGTCACCGTCCTCACGTGCCCTCCTCAGTTCAAACGTGTAAAAGAAGCTGTAAGCTGTTATTCTTGGGAACATGCGAGATCTTGCTCCCCGGCATGTCATCAGCTTTCTCAAATAAACTCTTACAAAATTCTCTGCATTCTTGAAGGTTGACACAAAATAGGAATTTTCAGTTATTTCCACTAATTTCCTTCAGTTACATTTGTACTATGCCTCATGGATGGCTATGAGCAGGAATGGAGGGCGATGGCTGCAGCAGACACTGAATGAGAAAGTTGGGACAAGTTTTCCAGAGATGAGTGTGGTGTGACCCAAAGATATAGCAGGCATGGCCGAGCAATTTAGCACACAGCCACACTCGCGGTGACCAGAAGAGACACGTGTCACCACTTGTGCGGCCTGGTGGTCCCGATTTGGATGCCCGTATTGCTCCTGCCTCTTCTGCACTACGTCTTCAACACCTGCAGGCACGTGTCTTTTGTTATGGTGTCTGCACTCACACACTCAGCTTGGGGCATGTTGAATCCCGCTGGGACGCGTGTGTAAGGAAGCAGACGCTCGTCCTGCATATTTAGACGGCGGCCCACCCAGCTCAGCTAGCTTAACATGGTGTGGCTGCCATCAGGCAAAACAGCTGCGGTGGACGTGCTTGGAAAGGCTCTCCTGACGTCTGCAGGGGGATGTGGGGGCTCAGTCCCTGAGTCTGACGGAGCGCCCACAATGCTGGGCTGAGCAACGCCTCCTGCTGACACAACAGCTTAGAAGGAAGAAGTCCAACTGTGGCCATGTAGACAAACTATAAAGGTGCTTTTAAAATCAAGTGGAGAACAGATCTGACAACTGGGGCCAGAGAGAGAAACAAGGTCTTCATTTAGGTTTAAATAAGATTTTTGCAACCATGGTGGCAGGCACTACCAGTTCTCCTCTGACAATGACGCTTCGTCACCTCCACAGTAGTCACTATCCCTACTGTCATACCCCCAACCTTCCCTTCAGGTTGGTATGACCGTGTGGCCACATTCTGGCCAATGGGATTTGAGCATGATAAGGCAGCTTAGGAGCCTTCCTTCGGGTCTGCACGGTTTGTCTCCTCCTTTTCCGTTTGTCCTCCTGCTGGCTGGACTGTGGGCACGACAAAGGAGCTGAAGCAGCCACTCTGCAGCCTGAGGTGCCCTTGGGAATGGAGTCCAAGCAGAAAAGACAACAAAAAAGTGCCAGGGCCCTGGTTGCTCCATGGCTCTTTTAGGTGAGAGAATAACATCTAACTGCATTGAAATGCTGTTATTTTGAGTTTCTGCACTCATGGCCAAACCTAGTCCTGATATATTACATTCAAAAAAGTTTTGGAAAAAATATTCCATAACACACATTTCTTAAAATGTCAAAGCCCAAATGCCAGGCTCACATACAGAAATGCACATTTCTTCCTCGTACTTACTTTTCCAGATTCCATCAGCGGCAAGCTGTGAGGGGACCCTCTCTCTACCAAGCGGACCCTACAAAGGGAAACAGGGTGTTACTGAGCATGTCTGAGCATGGTTGCCTGGTGCACTGCCAGCTCCTGGGCAGTGCCTGGCCGGCAGCTGGGGCCCCATAACTGCGGCTCAGAAGCCCGAGAGTGCGGTTGGACAGCAGGGTGCCATTGTGTTCCGGGGGTGACTGTTGCAGAGGATGCACATGAAGTCTCATTTGCCAAACCCACAAAGTGATAGGAAAATGACTCTGCACTTAAAGGAACCAGGAGGAGACTTAGCACTTGCGGGAAAGGAAAAGAACAGGATTAACTGTGTCCCCACAGAGCTGCCAGCCACTGGTGACGGCCGTGCTCAGTCCTGAAGCACTCACAGCTCTGCGTTTGCTGTGACAAGGCTGCTTGAGACAAGAGAGTAAGGGCCCAATGTCCCTGACTCTGCAACTGTGCCAGGATGCGCACGCTGTGCCCCATCCCTCCGAGGTGACACACAGGCAGAGTGGGTGGGGCTGCTGGCCATGTGTACGCAGCCCCATTGTCTGCTTTGACCAGCAGCGCCCTCTGCCCTCTTCCCGCCTTCAGAGTTCACCTCTCCTCCCGGGACCAGGCCTGCCTGCTGACACGGACCCAAGCGGCGTGCTGTCACCCACTGGCAGACTGCCCGCCACACCACTGGCTCTGGAGACACGTTAACTGCTGAGAATCACACTACCTGCCTTGACAGGAGAGACGGCGCCCCCACGGCTACTGCCAGAGCCAGTCACTTCAGAATTACAGACAACAAGCCCAGGGCCAGTGCAAGGGACACGCTCACGGTCACCCATGATCTCCTGTGACCTGAGGATGAGCGCCATCTGCTCCTTCAACTGCCACAACCTGCAAGGCTCCAGCAAATGCAGATGTAGCATTGCACTAGGGACAGGAGGGAACAGGGCCCAGGGCACAAACAGGCTCCTACGCAGCCCAGCTCGCCATGAGCACTGTGAGACAACCAGCCACAGCTTGTAATTAACCGGCATCTTCATCCAGACATAACCTGAAGCCTTTAAAAGACCCAACACAATGTAACAAGACCCTCGGAACAAGTTCTTTAGAATCCCAAAAGATGGGCAGTATTTGCACATTCCAGAAACAGGTCAGGGAACCAGGCTCTATGACTGGGCACAGTGACACCAGCTTCCTGGGTGTCAAGAAACAGACACAAGAAGAACGAGACAGGTTTTAATGTCTTTCTCCCCTGCTGCTGCTGAAGCACAGGAAGACCTGATAATCAGTTTCTAGATTTGATATGCTCATGAGCATTGTCTTAAAAATAAATTTCTACTTTAAAGTAATCTTAAAATTACAGGACACTTACAAAAATGAAAACAGTACAAAGAACACTTGTAATATCCCTTACCCACCTTCACCTATTGTTAACATTTTACTCCATTTGCTTTATCATTGCTGCTTGCTCTCTTACACACACACACACACACTCACACACTCACACTCACACTCACACACACACACTCACACTTTTCAGGAGCATGTCAGGGTGAGCTGATTACATAGTGAACCTTTACTCCCAAGTATTTGGGCATGTGTATCCTAAGAGGAGGGTCACTTCCTCCAGAAGCACAGAGGGGGCTCCCCTATTGAATTACCACTGACCCGACACTAGGACCTGCAGTCTGTGTGGGAACACGGTCCATCAGTCCAACAGTGGCCTTCACAGCGTCCCCCTTGAGGACAGGGTCCTGGGCAGCATCAGGCTCTGCATTTGGTTGTCACATCACTTTAACGCCTATTAATGAGGGGGCATTTCCAAAGTTCTGTCTTTATGATATTGACATTTTTGGAGAATGCAGCCCCTGCTTTATAAAAATATCATTTAAAATCATTTAACTCAAAATTGGTAAAGGACCTAAATTTAAGAGCTAAACCTATAAAAATGTTAGGAGAAAACAGGGCAAAAGCTTCATGACGTTGGACTTGGTAAAAATGTCTCAGATATAACACAAAAAGCATAGGCAGCAAAAGCAAAATATATATAAAATGGACCTTGTCAAAATGAAAACCTTCTGTACATGAAAGGACAAAGTTGTCAGAGTGAAAAGGCAGCCCGTGGAATGGTAGAGAATATCTGGTCATAAGGGATTAATATCCAGGACACATGGAGAATTCCTACAACTCTGCAGCAACCAACCAGATTTAAAAGTGGGAAAGGACCTGAAAAGATATTTCTCCAAAGAAGACACATGAATGACTGATAATCGCACAAAAAGATGCTCAATACCACTAGTCATCAGGGAAACACAAATGAAAACACACTGAGATGCCACCTCCCACCCGTTATGATGGTTGCTATCAAAACCTCCCAGAAAACAAGTGGAGGCAAGGACGTGGAGAAATTGGACCCCTTTACATGCTGCTGGTGGGAATGGAAATCGCACAGCTGCTGTGGAAACAGTGTGAAGGGTCCTCAAAAAATTAAAAACAGAACTACGACATGACCTAGCAACCCCACCCATGGGCACACACCCCAAAGGATTGACAGCAATGTCTCAAAGAGAGATTTGAACTCCCAGGTTCACAGCAGCACTAGTTACAGTAGCTAATACGTGGGAGTGACCCAAGTGTCCGTCAGATGACTGGATAACAAAATGTGATGTGTACGCTCCATGGAATATTCCTCAGCCTGGCAAAGGAGAATTCTGCAACGTACTACAGTATAGAGGGCCCTTGAAGACATTATGCTGAGTGAAATAGGCCAACCACGAAAGGACAGACACTTCTCTTTGGTACTTAGAGGATAAAAATCACAGAGACAGAAAGTAGAAGGGTGGGTGCCAGGGGAGGAGAAAGGGACGGGGAGTTAGTGTTCAATGGGGACAGAGCTTCAGTTAGAGAAGATGGGAAGTTCTGGAAATGATGTTGGTGATGGTTGCACATAAATGAATGTACTTAATGTCACTGATATGTGTATCCACCATCATTTTTTAAAATAAGTTTTTCTTTCCTTTTTTTAAAAATTGGGGAACAGCCGGGGTCATTGGTTATACATTGCTTTCATGCTACTGTGTTGTGGGAAAAGTCATGATGTATTTTTTGTTTTTCGTTGTGAAAATGCGTCATGACTTTTCCAACAACCCAATACAATGGCATAGTTGACTCTTCTTTTTTTTTTCAAAGATTTTATTGGGGAATTGGGGGAGGGGAACAGCGTTGGGGAATCAGGGAAGGGGAACAGACAAGTTGCTGTCCTTTTGTTCTTCAGTCTAGTTGTGGAGGACGTCGCTTCACTGGCCCATGTTGGTATTATCATTGTGCTCTTCCCGGGTGAGGCAGATCAGTCACCGGCCATTGGACGGCTGCTCAGGGCGGCTCACGGCAGCTCATGAAAACACACACCACCTGCCAACCAGCCCCACTGCAGCCCACGCTGTTGCCGGCGACTCACGGCAGCCCAGCTCCAGGTCAAGCTGTTGTTCACCATCTTAGTTGTAGAGGGCACAGCACCACTGGCCCTAATATGGGATCCGAACCGGGGCCCTGCTGCTCAGAGCTGGCGTCCCAAGCCAACTCTTAACCAACACGCCACTTGGCCAGCCCTAGTTGACTCTTTTAAGGAGGGTGCAGCTCCGTGGCCCATGTGGGATCGAACGGGCAACTTGGTGTTAACAGCACCACACTCTAACCAACTGAGCTAACCAGTCACCCCTATTCACCACAATTTTAAGAATTTAGAAATCACTAGCTGTCACTTGGGTTCTCTGATGTTTCCTGGTGACTAGACCAAGTTCTCAGTGGGGCTGCGACACAGGGTGCTGTGCCCCCATGGGATACTGTCTGGAGGCCCATTGGTCCACGTGACCCCCTGGGTCTTGTTTCTGAGGTTAATTCTTTGTCCTCAGAATTGAACACTATTTTTTTTAATTGAACACTATTGAACACTCCAGCAGTCAATAATGAAAGAGAATGCACTTAAAATATCGGCATGCCGCTTTTTAGCTTGTAGCTCTCCTGTGAAATGCGGGGGAAGAGCGAGGTGAAGGGAAAAGCTGCCTGTAAGCTCCAGATGCAGACATGAACAAAGCCAGGTGAGGAACAAGCAGACCATCACCCGCAACGCTGTCACGCCAGCCCCAGGCTTGGTCCCCTTCTGCTCATGGAGGAGTCTCCACATAAGCCCTGGGCAGACAGCGGGCTCACGTCTGACAGGGCCGTCAGCTCTTTCTCCATGAGAAGTTCTCCAGAAGAATGCATTTGCCTAAGCAAACAGATGCTTGACTTCAAAGGATCTAGGATTCTTTTAAAATGATTTTCACTTTCTAATGATAGATTGACTGACATATAACAGCCACATACAAAACAATTATGCAATTGTCCTTAGCTTTAAATTGATAAGTGAAGAACACTAAGGCTGACAATCCGATGTCACTTGGGGCTTTGTCACGGTGACTGTGCAAACCCCACTGAAGATCCTGCCCCATGTCTGCTAAGACAATTGTGACGAACCGACAGGAGGTGAGGCAGACACTCAAGCACCCTCCCAGCAAACCTTCTCACATGAACACTCTCTCTCTCTCTCTCTCTCTCTCACACACACACACACACACACACACACACACACACACACACACACACACACACACACACACACACGACACACTATTGCATAGTGACTTGGCCAGTTGCGTGTCCCTGCCCTCCCCTGCTGGCTAATCAGTATCCCCTGCACTTTTGTTCCATGATCTTTGGCCAACCACTGACCAGAAAGTAAGTGATATCCATAATTTTCTGAGGCTTCAATTATGACTTCAGTTAGAGGGAGGAAGGAAGTCATGAAAGCTTCCATGCCAGCCTTTGTGCCAACATTGCGATGACAAGATTTAACCCCTAAACTGTTTCTTTAAATGATGAAAAAAAAGTTTTTTCTTTTCTGTCACAAAATTCAAGTGCTTAAGGAAGGATCAAATTGAAAATGATTGAGACACTGCAAATTTGTCTTAAATGAACTCATTATAAAGACTATTTTAAAAACTAGCAGTCACTTTCACATAGTGTCACAGCAGTTTCATCATCTTCCCATTGTGCATGGAGGAACTAAATCGATTCAGAAGCAGGAGGACAAGCATCTCACATGCACGCGCAGATACAATCTTTCTCAGGGAGAGTGCACGCTTGTATTGACATATTAACCTTCTCTAGGTTAATTAAGTGACATTTGGTCAGGTGCCCTGGGGCTCCCAGGTGAATGTGCTTTAAGCTATCGGAACAAAAATTGATCCTGTAACTGAATGTTACAAGATGGAGCTCAACACATCAGCAGTTCTGCTCTAGACGAGTGCAGGAAGGCAAGGACCATCGGAAAGCAAGGACCGACTGCAGGAAAGCGAGGACCAACCATGGGAAGAGAAGGGCCACAGGAAGGCGAGGACCATGGGAAGGGGAGGACCCCAGGAAGGGGAGGACCGCAGGAAGGGGAGGATGGACCATGGGAAGGTGAGGACAGCAGGAAGGAGAGGGCTGTGGGAAAGGGAGGGCTTCAGGAAGGGAGAACCACAGAAAGGTGAGGACCGACTGCAGGGAGGGGAGGATCGACCACGGGAAGACAAGGACTGGCCATGGGAAGGTGAGGACTGTGGGAAGGGGAGGACCAACCATGGGAAGGAGAGGGGAGGATCAACCACGGGAAGACAAAGACCGACCATGGGAAGGCAAGGACTGTGGGAAGGGGAGCACCACAGGAAGGGGAGGACCAACCGTGGGAAGGGGAGGGAGGACGGACGATGGGAAGACAAGGACCAACCACGAAAAGGGGAGGACAGACCATGGGAAGAGGGGACTGACCACAGGAAGGGGAGGACCACAGGAAGGGGAGGACCAACCATGGGATGGCAAGGACTGTGGGAAGAGGAGGATTGTGGGAAGGAGAGGGCTGACCATGGGAAGGGGGAGACTGCAGGAAAGCGAGCATGATCTTTATGCTGCTGAAGGTGGGGGGGGGGTCTTCCTTTCAGTTTGTAAAAAACACAACTCCTGTGAAGTACAGTAAAGTGAGGTCACCTATAATCTCAAGTTAGGAAGATGAACAGCCCCCCTTTTATTTTTTTATGGAAATAGTTACAAGAAAGAGAGAGGGTCACTATCTTAAAAGGCTCTTCTGTTTCTCCTTCCCCAGCTGAGTACCCTCTGTGGGGCCAGCACCAGGCGGCAGAGGACGGACATGCGAAGTTTCCACAGGGACAACACAACCTCACCATGGGGGGATAGTCCTCTCACCCACCTGCTCCCAGTGACAGCTTCTACCCATGCTCATACCTCATCTGTCCCTTGGGGCTGGTTTCACTCTGAGTAGAGGGGACCTAAGGTCACAGAGCTTGTCCAAGGACCAGAGGAGAGAGAGCTGAACTCTGACTGGCTGGACCTGCGAGCCTCTACATCACATTGGGTGCAGCATAAGGCACATTTGACACGTGTTCATAACCTCAGAAGTGATGCTGGGAACTCCATGCTGGGTGGTCTGCTCACCGGGGACTATTCAGGAGACAGTGTTTGAGCTGCCCTTCAAAGAACAAGAACTTCAAGAGTGGAGAGAGGGGCAGAATCAGGAGTGGCACCAGGCCATGGTGTGGACGGTGGCTGGTGAGGGACAGGAGGCACCTCTGAGGTTCTCCACCACTTTCTCAAGTAGGACAGACAGGGCAGGACAAGCAGGGCCACGGCCAGTCAGAAAGACAGGCTCAGAAAGGCCCAGGATGGAACCTGCAATTACAGGTCTTTGAGGAAAAAAGTGACAGTAAGAGGGTGAAGGCGAGGGCCAGGCAGGAGGCAGGGACTGTGGGAGTGCCTTGGGGTGAAGCTCTGGGGACAGAGGAAGAGGGAGGCCCATGCAAACATTTCTGGTGTCTGACGTGCTCCCCTCAATCCCCAGCACGTATGACCTCCAATGTGGGGCAGAGAACACGAGGCTGGGACAGTGTGACTGCAGTGGGGTGATTGAGCCCACAAACGAGGTACGGGCATAGTTCTGAAGGCTTTCTTTCTGTGAGTGGCTGGGACCGGGCACATGGGGCTGTCTGACCCGTGCTGGCACCTGTCAGGCCACTCCGACACTAATCAACATTGCCATTAACTGTAATGACCAGTGCCACTCCCGATGGTTATCTTTAGTAATACCCAACTGCACAGCAACTTCCAGATCACAAAGCTGCTTGAGGTGACCCTGTTAGGGAGAAGAATGTATTAGAAGCTATTTCACAAATTAGGACAAAATTGTCACTTAGGAGGACTATGGACTTGCCAAACTGGAGGAGTCCGTACGTTACCAAGAAGTTTCTAGGACTCGGGAGACGACTCTTTCTAGAACAGATACGGGTCTGGTGTTGAAATTTTGCCACTTTACTGCCACACTGTACTGGTTCCGATTTTATTTCACTTTCCCCAAATCCCACCTTTTCTCGATATGAGATTTGCCACAGTGAAAACAGTCAAAGGGGTGGGTCTGAAAATTGTTAGATAGGATGCCCAGAGGTCGTTGTCCTTTTCCAAGAGGGCAAACCCTCACCCCTGGTCCCAGCCACCCCGACATGCCAGGACCATGCCAGGACCGTGGATGCAGCCGTGACTGCTGTTTGTAATTGTGATACCGTATTTCCTCATGTATAAGACGCTCCCATGTGTAAGACGCACCAGAATTTTGGGGCCCAAAATTTGAAAAAAAAATGTATTACATAAAGTTATTGAACTCATTTTATTCATCATAAAACTCACACAACTCCTCATCACTGTCAAAACTCCCAACCATAGCCAGTCTCGGATTGTTTTCTCAGTTGGAGGAGGACCAAAATTACGTTCAGCAGCACGATTTCCATTCACTTTTGCAAACTGGATTGCTTTTAACTTGAATTCAGCACTACACGAAAATCTCTTCTGAGCCATTTCTGGGCAGAACATGGCAAAAGGTAACCTAATATACTGGTAACAAGTGCGAAACAATGAGCGCAAAGACAACAAGCGCGAAAAAGTGGAAAATGCAAGTGAAAAAATCTACAACCACTGTATAAGACACACCCAGTTTTTAGACCCCAAGTTTTTCAAAAAAGGGTATGTCTTATACATGGGGAAATACGGTAAGTCGTTTGAATGTGCATTGTGCCCTCTTGTGTCCCAAAGGGCAGCGGTCCTCACCCAGAGGCCTTAGAGTGCTGGTTCTTCACCTGTTTTGAGGACCAGAAAACAGGCAGAATTGCGTGAATGTCACTCATACTGGGTCTCTGATGAGCTAGTGCTTGCTTTTTGAAGTTACGTTATTTTCAAATAATTTTATAGGGAGTGAAGCCTAGAAGTTCCATCTGGAAATTTGTGCGCCCCTAGAGCCAGTTTCTTAATCTCTTCAAAGCTAAGTTTTGGATTTTTGAAAACAGTCCAGAGGGGACTTGGACGATGCAGCTGGTGATGTCTTGAGGGGGACGGGGGCAGCCTCCCAGGAGGGGCTCCCACCACACAGGCTCTAACCTGCGATTCCCTTTTGAACAGCAGCGTCTAAAATGTGAGCTACAAGGGCCAGGCCACCTCTGCGTGTGACACGAGCAGCGTATGAAGGGTTTATCAGTCAGCAACACTGATACTTATTTGGTCATGTATTGTCCTGGGCACCACAGAACGCTTAGCTCTGTCCCTGGCTCCTGCCCCCGATGCCAGCAATATCATCTCCCTAAATCGTGCCACTCAGATGTGACTAGGGGTCTGTTGGCAGCACAAGCAGCCTGCCAGGAACACCTGGTGTGAGTGGGGGCTGGGGAGAGCAGGTACAGTCCAACTGCACCCTCGTCAGCTTCCACGACCTGGCCCCCAACACACTTGCAATGTGGCACTAAGTGCCCCAGGAGAACACACTCAGGCTATCTGCTCGGTCAGGCCGGGGCTGGTCTCCCAGTCTCACTCCCTCTTCCCACGACACATGTTGGTGGGTGAGCACATACCAAAACACGGAGCAGGCAGTGTGGGACCGACCAACGCAGCACGCTTATGGAGCACCACTAGTGATTTATGACAGAAGACACCCATACTGGGGCCCGCTGCCACCATCAGCCACGTCATATAAACAGCGAACGGACATCTGCATAATTCCCAAACAGAAACGAGCTAACGGGGAAAGTCTAGAGAGAAACATAAAATTCTCTCTTGCCGCTCGAGCATTCTGACAGGTCCTCCTGGTCCAGGCAGTCTTCTCACTCCTACCGCACCCCTCCCATCCCCCAGGGGCTCACAAGCACCTGCCGGCACCTTCATTCTCGCTCAGGGCGGCCTAGGAAGCTGCATAGGAAGGCAACTTTCATGGAAACATCTGGGCAAAAAATTTCAATTCTTGTAAAGAAATACGTTGGTATTTTATGAGGTGCCAAGTGGCACTTCCCTGAAATGGCCAAGGAAAAGAGCCAAGTGCTCCCATGAAACTTAGAAAAACGACTCTGGTGGCACCTGGCTATGGTGACAATTTTCACTTGCATCTCAAAAGAAAACTCGCTTGGCCCAGCGAGCGGTATGTGAACAAAACTGAGTTGGCAAGAGTGTGACTTAAGCCAGCTCCACTGCTCCACTTATGGGCAACAGCCCCCCTTCTCCATGGGACCTGCACGCCCGGCCACCAAGGGAAAGTCACAAGCGCGTCATACCTGTCATGTCTCAGGGCTCTCATGTCAACATAGACAGTGGTTGGATCAGGTCCCGAGGTCCCCTGCAAGCAAGGACAAAGGGAGGTTAGCTCACTTGTGGGTGGGAGGAGCCTGGGTCTGCTGCCTACTAGCTCGTGAGCATTTCTTTGGTGAAACGTGAAACTGAACAAACCTAAATGCACCAAAACCACACCTCTCCGCTAACCTTCAGTTTGCTAACCCACAATCCTCGAGGAACTCATTGGGATAATACTAGGCTCTCACACAGCACTGTTGTTCATCTCGTGTATAAAAATAAGGAAGGAAGGAGGCATGTCACATGTCTTGCCAAACACAAGAAGGCTGACTCTGCTGAGACCACATTTGCTGGGCAAAAGCAGGTTGTCATGGATATGAAGCTTCATTTGCTGAGAAATGTTACTACAGGCATCCCAAAATACCTAGAGCTCAAGATATTGAAAGGGACACGTGATATGAACTGACAGGCTCAGAAAGAAGAGATAAAAGATAATTATCTTGTTCCTTTTGGCTCTACTTGTGTCTTGGTTTTCCTCCAGCTGAGGGAGGTTATTTTCGTCTGGGATGGGGCCAGGGAGGTGGTATGTGTACCGCTCGTCAGCCGGCGGCACTCTGTGCTCTGAGCCATCTGACTTCCCACTTAACCCAGGGGCCCAGGAATCTTATCCTGCACCATGAATCCCTTCAAAGTGTATGCTGAGTTGACTTCTGGCCAATGAGCTCTGATTGTCATTAAGGCTACAATACAAACCAAAGTTCTATGTACATTTCTTGGGAAGGCAATGCAATACTTTGGATAGAAAAAGATGGAACCTAGAACAAAGTTGCCAAACAAATAAGGGAGCCCCTCAGAATTTACTTGAAGAACTACACAAAAATTCTTTAGGAGAGAATCTTAATCTTGGACCAAAGGCACATTTAAATATAAGAAAAAGACACAAATAAAGTCGCTGTCGTTAAGACATACTGTGTTACTAAGTAACCCTGGTACCTGTCCATCGTGACAGAGGAGCCACTGGCCGCCATGGTACAATGCAGAGAACGTCCTGTCTGACCTGCGGCTGCTCGGTGGAGCTGTTACAGGCTAGTGCTGAGTGGAGGAGGAGTTTGATGTTCTGAGTAATGCGAAAGAAACGCATAACCAGAAGACCAATTGACAAATAAGCAAATAAAAAAACAGGCCACTGCAAGTGGAGAACAAGGTAAAATGCCCCAAACTGACGGAGAAACCGCCAGTCCTATACAATCAGGAAGCGCAGCGCTTGTAGAGGTGATGGCTCCCTGGGTGTCAGCCCCCTTGACACGGGGTCTGTAATATGCCCAGTCAGTCCCTGCACTCGAGTCCCAGCCTGTCCCACCGCCAGGAGCTGACAGGTCGGTGGTGTGGGGAAGAGGGGTCCCTACCTGCTCAGCCAGCTTCCACAGCCTGTGGGGCTACAGCAGCAGGAAGTGGGGAAAAGAAGAGAGGAGAGAACACCAGACCGACAGAAACCAAGAACAGACGACACGTGACAGACACAGAAACAAAACAACCCAACAATTAAAAATGGGATGAAGAGGAAAGGGGAGGGAGGACAGTGCGACAAGCAGGGAACAAAGTAAAAAGAAGATCAAAAACAATGTCAAATATGGAAATCGTTAAAATCAATCACTGTACCACTAAAGGCTAAAAAAATCTTAGAAAGATGTCAACATATCCACAGAGCAACAGAAGCGAGTAATAGATGACTGGCCATGGACACACAGACCTGAGAGATGTTTTTAACACGTAAGGTCACTGGGTAGTTTAATTTTGTGGTGGCTTTCTTGAAGTGGTTTTTCTTTCCTGAGAGCAGTGGGGAGCACGAATTATGAAGGCGAGTGTCCCTCACTGAAATGGCCTCCAAGCTTCCTGTTACAGGGATCCTGGAGGCTTTCCAGCTAAGCTCGGGGTCCAGCTAAGCTCGGGGTCCAGCTGAGCTCGGGGTCCAGCTGAGCTCGGGGTCCAGCTGAGCTCAGGGTCCAGCCCTCCTCACACAAAATGATTTACAAGGAGGCAGTCAGAGGACGTTTGCAGCACAGAGGAACTGAACGTCGGGCTCTGGCATGCTTAGCTCAGCATCCTGTGCCAATCCTCATGGCTGCTGTCCCCAGAGACGCCTCCTTCCATTTCCGCCTCATCCTCCGTGGTTTTTGTATCCACCTCCACCCGTATTCAGTTACCTACATCGGCCTGGCAGGAAAGCTCCAGAAAGCAGCAACTCAGACTAGCTCCTCTGATACAATGTTTTCCCAGGTGTTAGGTGTCTTTCCCACATATCCCCAGAAACACAGACGTCATCCCACGGGCACCTGAATTGGTGCCATCACTTGTGCGCATGGCCTTGCCCAGCCTCGCTCCCTACCCTCACATTACCAAGGCACCCCAGAGGTGACAACAACAGCAGTAAAATAGGAGTCTTAACTTGGTGACAAAGCCAGACTGAACGACCACCACCAGTCAACGTGCGGGCGAGTCTATAAAAAAACCAGTGGTCCCAGATGTAAGTGACGCCCCCCGTCCCCCATGGTAATTGTGTCCTTTGTCTCTGGGACACTGAGGCTGGGCTCAAAATGGAGCAGGACAGGCTGCAAAGGTGTGTGTGCCGGAGGCGCCAGGACTTTCACTGCAGCTCTTCAAGCTGAATGCAATGGTTTGAATAATTTCCTTCATGATTCCATGAATCCCAAATGTTAATTGAAACAAAAGTAAGGCACTGTTCTCGCGAAATTATTTAAAATTTTAAACTTTGTTATAGTGGCTCTGGGTAGTATCCAAAAAAAAACCCTGAATGACTGGGAACTCATTTCCTAACCCAGAGAGTGGGGGACTCAACACAGTCTCTGGAGTGAAATTGCCCACTGCCTCCATACAGGCCACAGGGAACAGATCATTTGCAGGTGTTTCCAGATTTCAAAACCCTAAGGGTCAGGAATCTGAGAAGGCAAAACGCATGTTAGGAGCGCACGATTAACCAAATCCTCCCTCTGCCACAGAGTGCAAGTGGAATCTCCTTGAATGAGATCCTTTGTGCACAGAAATGCCCGAGTTACTAAAGATCATCAAATAGTTGCAGAAACGACCAGCGAAAAAGCGAAGCTATTCATTCCAACCCAAACTGACCAGAAATGAAGAAAAACATGTTTGAAACTGCAAATTACATTAATCAGAAGACAGGATTAACCTTAAGTCCAGTGGTGTAATAAAAGTCTTACATGTGGGCACCTGACATGATTGTACGGACATCGTTTTTCTCGTTGGTGGAAGAGTAGCGTGTCAGGTGGGGCTAAGTACTCTCTGAACAGGCACATTTGAAGCTCAGCTGTAGATGTGCAGATGCACACCGCACGGCACACGCTAACACTCAGCTCGTGCCTCGCATGCTGTGGTGTTAGGATGACCGAGGATCCGCACACACCTCCTTGAGTTTATGCAGATGTTCTCAGCAGTAATGTATGAAACAGACACACGTGACTGGCAGTGGGCACATCTGCTGTGCTGGATGTTGGAGGGGCCAGGGGCGGCTTCCTTCTGTGGAGGTCACAGGGACAGGCCCTGCAGACATGGGTGACGGGGGCTCACCACGGACCCACGCCAGCAGCTGAACTTCATGCAGTGCCCCACCTGAAGGGCCCTGTGCCACACTCTCTGGCCCTCCTAGTAGAGCTTTGTATGAACAGCGATCTTTTCAGCATATTGATGGAGGTCTAACGTACACACAGTGAAAGGCGCAGATCTCATGTGTCTGGCTAGGTGAATTTTGACAAGTGTACGAACACGGGACACCACTCCAAATGGTACATAAACCTAGGTGAGCTGACCACATACCCCAAGGCTCTGACCTGCCGGCTGTTCACACCACAGAAAGGTTAGCTCAACCTGTCCTGGGCTTCATGTAAATGGCGCAGCACGCTGTGTGTTCCTTTGCATCAGCTGCTGTCGCTGAGCACACCACCCTTGGAGTCCATTGAGTGGTTGCTTGTCCCTTTAAGTTCTGACAAGTGCCCACTGTCTGTGTCATCACCACCTTTGTCCTGTGACCACTAACCGTCTGCCTTATTCCCAGTCTGTGGCTGCCGTGAAAAAGCTGCTGTAAAGCTTCTCATACAACTGTCTGTGGACGTATGTTCCGAGCACACTTCCAGACACGCTTGCTGCTCATGGGGGAGAACGCACTGAACTTCCTAAGAAGCTGGCATCACTCCCCAAACCATCACGGTGACAAATGGAATGAACACGTGATTCTTCTCTAGTGAAAATCACAACTTCAGCTTTGGGCACCACACACTGAGCCCTGACTCGTGTCCTGTCCTGGCAGCTGACCCATGAAGGGCCTTTGGGAATTATGCAAAATGAGGACCACTAGCGGGTGTGTGTCCCTCTTACACAGGCCGTGCTAACTCACCCAGATGTTCTAATTGTAGAACGTGCTGCTGACACAAACACGCCATGTAGCTTAAATGAGGATTTTCCTCATGAATGATGGATTGAGCACCATGTCACACACTTATTAGTCAATATCTTCTTTTGCAACGTGTCCACTCAAGCCTTTTGTCCATTTTCTATTAGGTTTTCTATTGTTCATTTGTAGTTTTTAATATTATATTTTCCTGATATATTATTACAAATATATTTCTCCAGTCTGTAATTTTCCTATTCGTCTTCTTAAATATGCTGATAAAATTAATTTTAACTTCAGTGAAGTTCAATCATGTTTTTCTTGTATGGTTAGTGCTTCTGATGTTCTAAGAGATCTTTGTATATTCCGAAGTCATGAACATATTCTTTTTTGTTTATTTGTTTGTTTTGTTTTAAAGATTGTATTGGGGAATCAGGGAAGGGGAACAGACAAGTTGCTGTCCTTTTGTTCTTCAGTCTAGTTGTGGAGGACGTTGCTTCACTGGCCCATGTTGATATTATCATTGCGCTCTTCCTGGGTGAGGCAGTCACTTGCCGGCCATTGGACGTCCACTCACGGCGGCTCATGGCAGCTCACGAAAGCTCACGCCAGCTGCCGGCCAGCCCCACTGCACCCTACTTCATCACCGGCGACTCACAGCTGCCCAGCTCCAGGTCAAGTTATTGTTCACCATCTTAGCTGTAGAGGGTGCAGTGTCACTGGCCCTCATGTGGGATTTGAACCGGGGCCCTGCTGCTCAGAGCTCATGCTCCCAAGCCAACTCCTAACCAAAGTGCCACTCGGCCAGCCCCATGAAGATATTCTTTAATACTTTCTTCTAGAAGCTTCACTCTGGAAGTTTTAGTATAGACTTTTAGGTCTGTGATTCATCTAAGTTTATCTTTTGTGTATTTTATGAGGAAGGATCTGAGGTTACTTAATTTCATCTTCAGCTGTCCCAAAGCTGTTTGTCACAAAACCTTCTCCTTCCCTTCAAGAAAAACTGCCACCAGTGGCCTGCATTTTGGGGACTGTCGACCCAAGAACTTTTGAGAAAGCACATCCGTCTCTTCAGCTGCCAAAGCTAAAGGACAAAGGAGAAGCTCAGATGTATCTGTGTTCGGTTCAAGGCACAGGTGGAAAACTTCCTATGCCTGACAAGGAATCATGTGTCCGTGTGACAAGAGTGAGAGGACCCAAACCAGAGCGAACGTGTGGCTGGGAAGCTGGTGGGCTCCACGTCAGCAGGACAGCTCCACACAGCCCACTGGGACCCAAACTCTTTCAAAGTCCCCACACATTTAGATGGCAGAGTTGACACTGTCGGTTCAGTGTGGGAACACCTGGGACAAGCCGAAGCATGCAGTGTGTGACTGCACCCCTCCGCTCTTTCCTCGCATCACCAGATTGGCCATCTTTCTCTTTCACTGTATGACCTTCAAGATGTGAGGCTGACTGTGACTGTTACTATTGATTTAATTCACACAGCTATTCACAATAAAGCTCGTGTCTCAGATAAATTGATCATTATTTTGTTATGTAAGATCAAAGTCTTTGTGTAACATGGCTGCGAAGCTTTTTCCCAATAAAGCAAAAACTGAGGTCTCCATTGGACAACAGAAGACCTCATTTTCCCCTCCATTCTGCTGGCAAGGAGGATGCTCACTTTTCTGTTTCAATGAAGTGATTTTCTAAGTCTGACGGGACCAAAGGCCTCTTGGCTTACACTCTTAGTAATTGCGGCCGCAGGCAACGTCTTCTTCGGCAGAGGTTAATAAGCAACTGACACGTCTTAAGAAAACCAAGGGAAATTTATGTTAGAGCTCATTAAACTGATGAGTCACTAATTTGATCTTTCTAAGGTCCACCTTGGTCATAAATTTAACCAATCGAAATTGTTTTAAATTAAAGTCATTTTTAACAGCTAAGGATTCTGGGAAATGTCATTCCTGCATATACCAAATGGCTCATACTCGTATGTTGCTTTCTTCTGCAGAGTCTAAAATATACCAATAGTTCATGTAAAGTCAAAGTCACCCACACTTTTTATGAGTCCATTCCTTTGCCATGGTGCCACAACATGGATCTCAAAGGGGCAATGTCAAAATAATTAATGTGGCAATTCCTGCCTCAAAATGATAAATGGGTAAAACAAGTCACCAGTTTCTAAGATGAAAGAGCTGAGACAGTGGCTTCGCCGAAATTACTGTCTCAAGTTTTATTTTTCTATTTTTGGGATTCTTTCATTGAAGATTTTATATTTGCCCATTTGTGTACCTGACCATGACATACTTGTCAGTGTTCATGATTTTCACTTACATTAAAACACCAGGGTTTCACATAACATGAGAGCAGGTGTCACAGAGTGATGGCAGCATGGCCCCACGGCGCTGCTCCCAGAATTCTCCCCCGACACAGGGCATCCCACCCTACCCCTGACATAGGCGTGGCTTTTGAACCACCTGAGTTTGGTCACACAGAAACAGGTCTGATTTGAGATGTCAGAGGAAAGGAAACAGCTAAAAACCGAAGCCAGGCTACTCTGCACACAGCTGACAGAAGGGCTGATTCATGCGGTCACTCGGCCACACACAGAAATGACACTCACAAAGGCTCACGACATCACACTTCTTCAATACCACAGCCCTCTGGGCTGTCACTGTAAAATGATATGACTGACCTGCCCTCCTGAGCGAGGGGAGAGCCAGCTACATACTGCCCGGGGGTGAGGGGTCCACTGCAGGCACTACAGTTGGTGGTTTTGTCTGTCTTGGGGGTAAATGCCTCTTTCTCCGGTGCACCCTGACCTGCTGTCTGAGATGCAAATGCTGCCGATACTGAGCTTCCCTCGGAAGGATGACTTGGTCATGACGATACTGTGGGCTCCCATTTGATGGTGATTCCCACTGTGGCTCCTTGTGGACAAGGGCGTTGCTCACACGACAGGTGGGGGTCGAGTCCAGTCCAACAGGGATTCACTTCCAGAAGGGATTGTGTGACCACAGGAGGCACTGGGTCCCCAACACGGTTCTCCCGGAGCACAGGGGGTGGGGGCAGTTATATGCGTGACAATGAAATGTGGTAGCAGCATGAAGTGGTGGGAGGTACAAACAGGAAGAACACTTCCCTAGGTGTCACAGAGCCGCCTCTGCCCCGTGGAGGTGGGGGCAGCCCGTTTGAGAGCCAGAGCAGCAGGACGCGAGGCCAGAGAATGACAGCATGAATGACTGTAGGGAAGACAATGTCATTTACTGGCAAACTGTAAAGTAGGGACAGAGAAGCTTGAGGCTAGACTGTGAAAGGTTCGGGGTGCCATCAATGAAGACTATTCTTGCAAAGTAAAGACAAACCCCTAACTTAACTCTAACTTTAAACCTCACGTGTCGGACACGTCTGATTCTCAGCCACAATCGTCAGCTTTCCCAAAGACCAGGGTACCCTTGGGGAAACGTGCTCAGTGCTTTAAAGATTCAGGTACAGGGCCTGGGATGCCTTGGCTCTCTGTGCTTTTAATGGTGATTCTGGGAAGGTGGAGTTATGGGTGTTGTTATTTACTTGTTGTCAAATATATACTTTCTGGTTTTGTTTTTCTAAAATAAATATTCTTTTGTAAAAGAAAGAAAGAGAGAGAGAGAGAGAGAGAGAGAGAGAGAGAGAGAGATGAAAGAAAGAAAGAAAGAAAGAAAGAAAGAAAGAAAGAAAGAAAGAAAGAGAAAGAAAGAAAGAAATTCAGTCTATAAAAAAATTCCAAACCTTTCAGGTTATTTCCATTATTTCTTTGTCTAAAACAGTGGTTCTCAATCTTCCTAATGCTGCAAACCCTTAATACAGTTCCTCATGTTATAGTGACCCCCAACCATAAAATTATTTTCGTTGCTACTCTATAACTGTAATTTTGCTACTGTTATGAATCGTAATATAAATATCTTTTTGTTTTCCAATGGTCTTAGGCGACCCTTGTGAAAAGGTCGTTCGACCCCCAAAGGGGTCGCGACCCACAGGTTGAGAACCACTGGTCTAAATAGTCACAACAATTCAGCTTTAGTCAGAACATTTAACAAACCTTTCTAGGCATTTATTGTGTCGGCCTGTAGAAGTACAGTGGGAAGCAGGACATGTGGGGTTTCTGCCCTCACACCCTGGGCTATGCTCACTCTGTTTGTGGGGGTACCATTGTCACGCATCTTAAATTTTTGCAAAAAATGAACAGAAAGTGAACGTTTCAGTGACCAGCCTCAAGGCTTCGCACTTGCTGCCACCGTCACCCATATTCTGCAGTCCCTCCACTTCACAGGATGCCTGGCTGAAACGTCACGTACTTGAGAGGTCTTCTGTGGCGCCCTTCCCACAGTCCCCTCCCGTGTGTCCACGCCCCTCTTCTCCCTGTCATGCTGCTTTTATTAAGAATACTTTATTCACTTACATAAAAACTTATCTTCATGTTCACTGTCCATCTCGTAGGGTACGAGAAAATGGTCAGTGACAGCAAGAACTACATCATATGCAACCACCGTTGGGGTCACAGATGAAGAGACAGTGGGGGGGCGGGGAGCGGGTGACTTGTGTCAGCTGGTGTGCGTTCCAGCACCTGCCGTGTTCGAGGGTGAGGCCGGAGGAAGGACCCCAGGAAGAGCGCACCTACGCTTCCTGTCCTGCCACAGTGCTCGCCACGGCCTGGGCCTCGTGTCGGCTCAGAAATGGGGGAGTGGTGGGGATACTCAGAAGCAGGCTAGTGAACGGGGAAAGAAGACAAGCACTTTCAGCCATAGGGGATGCCAGGCTGTCTCAGGAGGGCGGCCTTGCCACACCTGTGCCACAGAAACGCAGTTGTAATTACTTCTAAGTTGGCACAGCAGCAAATTCCCAAACTTGCCTCAAATGCTGAGCCTTCCTCCAGAAGTTACTGTCCACACAGAGAACAAGTGCTGCAAGAGACGGGTTTTCTTGCCACGATGGAACATTTGTATCTAATCTTTGGAAAAACCGCTAGCCCTATTACAAAAATTAAAATGTTCAGAACAGGATAAGTGCTATGAACGGTGATTACTGACAAATACAGAATAAAAGAAAGGAAGAAAGAAATGGGGCGTCACATGTGTGATTACAACGTGTCTTCTCAGTGTGGCTGAGCGGCAGCCAGGGAGCGGGCTGGGCCAGAGTGCGTGTGCGTCTGTCAACAGAGCGATTCTCCTGCCAGCACTATGGGTGTCAGCGAAACTCACCTGCAAGCAAATCGCCAGGTTCACGCGGCAGCCAAACGAGGTGCTGACAGCCCGTGGGTGGAGACCCAGGTCCTTGAACAGCTTCGAGAAGGACTGGGTGAGTGCTATTCGAGGCCGCTCCTCGGCGACTACCACACACGTCCGCACGCGGGACAAGTCCAGTCCTCGTGCCTAGGGACAACGACAGCGTTAAGAGGTCAGCTGTGTAAGAGCCTGGGTGTATGACCTCCTCAACCAGACTTGTCACACAGCCTCGTCCACGCAGGTACCCATCTCCAGGCTCCATGCATCCATTAAAACCTTCCAGAAACCCTGCGCAAAGAATCAGCCAGTCAACCACACATTCCCAGGTGATCAGGGTGCCATTACAAACATATTTAAATAACAGCAGAAACAGCCACGAGAATGAGGGGAAACACATGGTGCTGGGCAAAATAATGGATGGGGTTTGGGGAAGAAAAGAAGAATTCGTATACACGCCTATGGACATGCACACAGGAGCACACACTGGAGAAAACGACAAGGCCCATTTTAATACATGAATAGACGCCCAACTTTTAAAAGGCAGCTCTCCTTTTATGCCTCATGAGACTTCAAAGGTCACAGATAACTTTTGTGACCATGGGCGTCTGCTTCTAAAGGACACACATGACTAAGCATACCTCAGTTCTGCCCCAAATTCAGTCAACCGAGCAAAACAGCAAAACAAGAGGAGGGAAGGATTCAAGGGAGTAAAGCACGCTCTCTGTGGTGACAGCTGGGACTCCCCGTGTGCTGAGAGCTGCGTTTAAACATGAAGGGAGTGGTGAGTGACACCACTCCAGACAATGGCCACAGGCAGACCCTCTTGGTCCTTCAAGCACCTGCAAGGTGGCCTTGGCACAGGGACAACTGACAAGGGCTCCTGAACTGCGGGGGAAACACAATTCAAGAAAACTGTAGCAATGAAATTTAGTGCATAGGCGGGATTTGATATCCATACAGTTACACAGGAAACGGTAAAATCTGGATGACACAGTGCTTTGCACAGATGTATGTTTGGACAGCAAAGCAGCCAGGGGGTTTGGGGTGCCGGACCTGGAGCCAGAGACTCAAAATTTAGCCCCGAAGTTTATGAAATGCAAGAACTTGGAAGGGTGCTCAGTTCTCTGTAACTTAAGTTGCCTCATTTTAAAAAGGAAGGCAATGGTTTCTATTTCAGAGAGCTATGGCAAAGGTGAAATGAGTCACTTATGGTATCACTGTTCCATTTGGTTTATATGTGCACCTACAGGGAAAGCTGATGAAATGTACACAACCATTCTGTAACATATAATACAGATGAAGATGAGTAATAGTTATGTTTTACAAATTTATTTCCCTGCATAAACATGTAACTTCAAGTAATTATACATTTATTTATGTAAGTAATATCAAAGTTATCTTGCATTTTATTTCCCTGTTCACGCTTAAAACATTAGGTCTGAAATGGGAAACAAAGTTCAGGAGAGACAAACACATCCCTTTGCCATCTGTGCACACACATGTGAATGGGATCTGTGCACACAGCACCCACAACACGCGTGGATGTGAGCTGTGCACACGGCACCCACATATCTGGGCTGTGAGAGTGAAGAGTGTTTTGAATATAAGCCACGGCAGGCCGTGTGATTATTCCCTCCTAGTTAGTTGGATAAGAACAACTTAATTTATCAGGAAAATATGTCCATCCCAATGTCCTTGATTTAAATGGAGGGAAATTATATTACTGTCAGATAATGATAATTATATATTAAAACACCAAACCACTGTTCACTTAATTGCAAAAATGAATTTCAGTGGGGACCCAGAACTACAAATCAGAGTGTTCATGGAAAACAAAAGTGAGTGTCTGAATTCAAATGTGTGACTTGAAAACCAGTGTCAGAATGAGACTGTGCTGGAGAACTATTGGGTTGTTGGAAAAGTCATGACACATTTTTGCAACGAAAAACATAGAAAAAAATATGTCATGACATTTCCGACAACCTAATTTTTCAGCAACAGGCAGAAAGGCAATGTAGGGGTGCTCAGGTGGTGTGAAGGGACTAAAAGACACCGTGCCTGTGTGTGGCAGTGGGAGCACACTCCCACTGGGACTGGGTGTCACAGCAAACCATCTGCAAGCGGGGTGGCCCTCCACTCTTGTGACGGCTGTCTTAGCTTCACCTGTCTTCCTGTGGCCTCGGAAGCATCCCCAGGCCCTGGGGGGCGGGTAAGGGCTGCTTACCTTGAGAGATTCTGTCTGCGAGCCCAGCCCCTTGGTACAGAGCTCCATCACCGAGTAGGAACAGAATGTATCGCGGACTTTGTACTGACTGACAGCAAGCAGCCACAAGGCAGGGTTGGTTTCCAGCTCTGACGGTGGGATGAGGATGGACTGGTGTCCAGAGTACACGCTGTAGAGGGAGACAGGGGTCAGTGAGGCCGAGGACAGGGGCCCAGGCCCGTGATCCATAAGCGACAGGGCACGGTGCTGGCAACTCTGTTCTGAGGGACTTTTAAGTATCAAATGAAAGTGTGTTCATGAAAACATTCTTAAACAAAAGAATCATAGGAATTGTGATCGAGGGTAGCTACCATGTTGAGCACTCGCCTCAGTCATCTGAGCTGTGGCATTACACTTAAGAAACTGGGTTCTCTTCCACAGCAGGAAACACGGGGCTGGATTTTGGTAAAATGCTTGGAAGTTTAGACCGGAGTCAGAAAACGCAGATGCTGCCTGTCGCTGCAATGGTGTCACTGGGCTGCGGCCACTCGCAGAGTCCATGGGCAGAGCCGAGTAGCGTGACAGACACAGAGCCGAGGCCACTCAGCAACAGTCTGGGAAGGTGTGCCTACCCACTTGTTTAGAAAACCGACCTCCAGAGTAAATGAATGTAAGTGAACTCAGTTACATGAAGTCTGTCATTCAATTCTTCGGAATGATCCCAACAGATCACGTTCTAAGAATAATACAGTAAAAGGGATTTTCTAGGGACAAAAAGTCCCATAAACTAGCACAATGGCTATGTTATGATACTAAAGCCAATTCTTCTTGAACAAAGCCAATCTCACATTAAAAATTTCGAGATTGTTTGCAATAGAATACAACTGGTTTAAAAAATGGAAGAAAATTAAGCTGGCTCACAAAATCTACTTTAAACACGGCCCTTAGAAGGAAAAGTATTCTTCAGGGCATTTAGGGCAAGTTTCCATTTTTCCTTATTTTCTAGCCCCAAGTTTCATTTATGTTTGTCAAAAGGAAAGACAGCAAATGCTGACCTTTTCTGTGATCTTTTCAAAGGGCTTAATCATCTGAGATTTGTCCTTGGGGAATTAACTTAGGTCATTAAAGATCCCTTTATATTAAGAGTATTCAAGAGATCAAATAACAAACACGTCTAAATGACAAAATACAGCTGGCATGTGGTGTTTCTGACACTTGAGGCATACTGTATTATTCTTAAAATAACGTCTTGAGAACTATACACTTGGGGTCTGAAAACTAACCAAACATGTCCAGGCCACAGGTGCCGCCCCTCACGCCCGCAGGGGTCCTGTGGCCACCTGTCTCCAGGACCTGTGAGAGCTAAGACACAGCGCGTCCTCGCCCCCAGGATCCTGGTTCCCGGAGGCGGGCAGCTCTGAGGACAGTGCTAAGCAAGAGGGAATGCCCGCGGCTGGCTCAGTGGGGGCTGCAGCTCTGTTTTGCTACTGTGTGTACAGTCTTGTAGTCCTGCTGTCACCTGCAGCCCAGCGAAGCAGAATCAGCCTGCGCGTCTGGTGTGACTGAACTAGAGCCTTTCTCAGTAGCTTATCACGAAGATGGTTATTTTCTGAGAATTTCTGGAACCTGAACTATTCTAGTTTAGATCTTAACTTCAAAAACAACAAAATTATTAAAAAGACATTTTGGGATATTTCTCACAGCCTGTGGCCTGTCTTTTCACTCTCTTGAAAGTGTTCTTTACAGAGCAGAAACTGTTACCTTTCATGAAGACCAGCCTATCAATTACTTCTTTCATGGATTGTGCCTGTGGCGTCATATCTAAAGGGTCATTGCCAATACCAAGGTCAGCTAGGTTTTCTCCTGTGCTATCTTCTAGAAGTTTTATAGTTTTATGCTTCACAGTCAGGTCACTAATCCACTTTGAGATAATGTTTGTGAAGGCTGTAAGGTCTGTGTCTAGATTCATTTTTTGGCACGTGGATGTCCAGTTGTTCCAGCTCCATCTGATGATGAAAGACCATCTTTGCTCCATCATGTTGTCTCTGTTCCTTTGTCAGAAATTGGGTGACTGTATTTATATGGAGCTATTCCTGGCTCTCTACAACACCGACAGCAACCCTGATGTAGATTTTGGACTCTGGGTAATGATGACGTGTCAATGTGGGTTCAACAACAGATTGTAACAAATGTCCCATCAGGTGGGGGTGTTGGCAGTGGGGGAGGCTGTGTGTGTGGGGGTGCAGAAGGATGGGAAATCTCTGTGTCTTACACTCAATTTTGCTATGAACTTAAAAGTGCTCTGAAAAGTCTATTAAAAAAATAAAAATAAAAACGTGGGTGACCAGTAGAGGAAAAAAAAGAGACATTGTGGTAACTAATATAAACAATTGAAAACTATCCCAACTTTGGCACTCAGCAGGGCAGCCACATGGCTCGCTGGGACACACATCACCCCATGTGTCATTCGGGTGTGTCGCCTTAACTGACAGGCTTGTGTCTGCTATGCACGTCAGTCACGCTGATGATAGGCTGTTTTCTTTTTAAAATATATTTTATTTTGGGTATAATTTGCATACCATAAAATCCATCCATTTTAAGCCTAGAATTAAATGAATTTTAGTAAATTGCAGGCTTTTAGAAATATCACAATGCAGTTCTAGAACATTCCATCACCCTAAAGGTAGGCTTGTGTCCATTTGCACTCAGTCCTGTTTCCAACCCTCGCCATAATTATTCCACTTTCTGTCTCTATAGATTTGCCTTTCCCACATATTTCAGAGAAATCTGTGGCATCATGATACAACCACATAATGTGTGGCTTTTGGGTCTGGCTTCTTTCACTCAGCACACTGGGATGTTTATCAGTATGGCAGCTGTAGTCCATCGTACGGATGTGACAAACAGAGTATCCACTCGCCAGTCAGTGGACATTTGGATTCTTTTTTCTTTTTAAACAAAGTCTGCTGTGAGTACTGCAAGCACCAAGTGTCTGTGTGGATACGTGTCCCTTTCTCTTTGGTAGGTGCCTATGAGTGGCACTGCTGGGTCCACGGTAAATGTGCATTTAATTTTTAAGAGCATGCAAACTGTGGTTTCACCGTTTTCCATTTCCATCCACAGTGTATGAGAGTCTGTTCTGCACGTGGTTGGTTACCGATGCTTTATGCTGTGTGTTTTAGTGAAATGTCTGTTCAGATCTGCTGCCCATCTGTAAATCATGTTGCTTGTCTCTTACTGTGCTTTAAGAGCTCCTTTATATCTGGTTGGAAGGGCTTTATCGGATAGATGATTTGCAAATATCTGTGGCTTGTCTTTTCACTTTCTTAATGGTGTCTTTTGATGTACAAAAGTTTTAAATTTTGCTGGAAGTCCAATTTATCAACATTTCATGTACATACTGTGCCTTTGATGTCATATCTAAGAACTCTTTGCTAACCCAGGACAACGAATATTTACTTCAATGTTTTTTCTAGTTTTATAGTTTTGCTCTTACATTAGGGTCTGTGATCCACTCAGAGTTAATTTATATGATGTAAGGTAGCTGTTCAATCTTTTTGCCTGTGGCTGTCCAATTTTCCCAGTGTCATTTGTTGAAAAGACTATCCTTTTCCCATTGAGCTGCCTTGCTTCCTTTGCTGAAAAATCAAATCACCAAACATATAAGGGCTTATTTCTGGACTCTCAATCCTGTTTCAGTGATTATTTTATATGCCTATATCTTTATGCCTGTGTCATGCAGTCTTAGTTAGAGTAGTAAGTGCTGAAATCGGGTAGTCTGAGTTGGCCAACTTTGTTATTCTATTCCAAAACTGTTTTGGATATTGTGGGTCCTTTATTTATATTCTAGGATCATGTCATCAATTTTGGCAAAAAAAATCCAAACAAACCCTGCTGAGATTTTAACAGGGATCATACTGAATCTCTAGACTAATGTGGTGAGAATTTTCATTTTAACAATATTGAATCTTCTAATCAGTGAATATCAACTATCTGACATGCTTTTTTGTTTGTTTGTTTTTTTTTTAGCTGAGACATCCTGCCACCTTTGGCAGCTCAGTGGCAGCTCAGCTTGGGCCGGGCATCGAACCGCTGTTGCTCAGAGCTCAAATCCTTGAGCGAGCTTTTAACCAACAGAACCACCTGACATGCTTTTTTAAAAATGTATTATCTTAGAAACATTTTCAAGTGACTGTTGTGTCAATGATTCTCAGATAAACCTCTTTCTACTTCATGACTGAAGGAAACTTTAGGATGAAGAAGAAAAAACTGTTTAATTTTTTTAAAACACTTTGAAAGAATTACAAAGTTACAGAAAAGTTCCAAGTAAGTAATAATAACTTTTTCCCCTGCAATCATCTGAGGGTGAGTCACCGCCCTGATGCCCCACCGCCCCTGAACATATACGGGGTATTTCCAACAAGTAAGTATATTTTCCTGTGTAAGCCAATTAAGACATCAACTCAGGAAACTGAGACATTGTTTCCACCTGTTCCAGTTCTGCCTGAGGATACCCATACCACACAGCGAAAGGGTCAAGTTCAGTTTCATGCCGCATAAGGCTACCAGTCAGCCCTTTCGGATGCACCTTCAGTGCTTCCTTGAGCCCATGACTGGCATTTGTGAAGACGGCAGGCAGCCGTGCTGCTGAGTGTCCCTCAGTTTGAGTGTTTGATGTCCCTATGATTAGATTCAAGAGACGCATCTTCAATGCTGTTTTCCTCACTGTGACACTCCCGTTGAGAGTGGCCCACTATTGGCCAGTTTCACTTTGACCTCTGGATTCAGGCTTCTATTCTGTGAAGGCGCCCTTCTGTTCTTTGTAATTGACACCTACCATGTAGATCCTTGTTCCTCGCTGAGCTTGCAATCTGCTCATCTATTTGTATCTGAGGAGTCAGACAATTTCCTATTTTATTCAAAGTGTTAGAACCTCCCACAACCTTTATTTATTTTGATGCTGAAGTTGCCCAATTTGGCCAGTGGGATCCGTTCAAGCTGGTTCTTTTGTGCTTTCGGCCCCCATCATTCTGTGAGCACTTCTGGCTTTCTTGCAGAAAAAGACGTTCAGGCCATCTTGCACACTTCCTGGGCCAGCCCTGACATCAGCCATTTCTTGAAGGCGCCTGCTCATTTGGGAGGAAAATGGCGTGTGCTGCACTTACAGGTCCTGAGCATCCTCCTCACTACTGCTGGCTGCTCCGAGGTCCAGTTCTGACACACGGACAGTGGTCCTATAAGGTCAGTGGCTCAGAACATGCTTCCTTCTCCGTTGACCAAATATGTGTGAGGTCACTTTGGCCCTACTGTTGGGATGGTATATTCTGAACTATTTCCCAAGAAAAAAGTCATTCCCAAGAAATGCCATTGCATTCTAGATCGAGACAAAAATCATTAAGATATTTTAATTGTTCAGTTCTATTTGCTCTCTCAAAAACTTTAATTGTCATAACTAGAGTGGCAGTGGTTTTAAAAGATACAGGACTAGATTTTAATTCAATCTAATACTATTAAGTATTATGAATGCATTAAGGTAATTGTTTCAGAAATGTCTGAAGACGTGAGGAAATGTCTACTACAGACGATTAAGGAAAAAGGCAAATTATGAGCCATTTCATGCTGTCGCATATCGGTTTTATAAATACACTGATGCACATTTACAAAATTGTACAAAGTGTAATCAAACAATACAGTGAAAGTTTTAAAAAAATGTATTACAGTAAAAGACACATTGCCATTAATCCCCCTCAAAAATACTCCCCTTCACTTTGAACACACTTATCCCATCATTCTTGCCACTTTCTGAAGCAGTTCTGGAAATCTTTTTTCGTGAGTGTCTTTAGTTGCACTGTCGTGGCTGCCTCAATGTCCTGAATCATTTTGACTTTGGGGAAGAGCCAGAAGTAGCACAGTGCCAGATCCGGTGAACAGTGGTTTTATTGGACAGAAATTGCCGTATAGCATAAGTGATATGTGACACAGAGCGTTGTCATGATGGAAGATGATTTACAGCACATTTTAAAACCCACCTTCTCTCAACCGTAGCTCACACCCAATGACTACACTGAACAAGTTGCAACTTGTCACACACTGTTACTAAGGTTCGATGCACCACTTCCCATATTGAAGATCCCTGCCTTTCTGTTGGATGGCACTCGGCAGCAGCATTCACCGTATTTTGTGATCACAACGGAAAGAATCCTTGTCACCCATCACTTCTGGTACGGCAATTTCTGTCACATAAAAACCTTATGGTGTGTCCTCATCCACCTTATTCACTGGATCTGGCACTGCACGACTTCTGGCTCTTCCCAAAGTCAAAATGATTCAGGAAATTGAGGCAGCGTAACTAGAGACATTCACAAAAGAGGACTTCCAGAACTGCTTCAGAAAGTGGCAAGAATGATGGGATAGTGTGTTTGAAGCGAGGGGGAGTATTGTAAGGGGTATTAGTGGCAATGTGTATTTTACTGTAATAATTTTTTTTAATTTATGTATCTTTTGATCACACCTCATATATGCACATAAATGTTTATTAGTGAAATCATGTGTTGTTTGGTGTTTTCTCTAAAATGTCCCATTATAAAAAAGGGATAGAACAATTAGAAAGACGGATAAAACAAAACAGGCAACAGGTGGACCCTGTGAATCTGGATGGTTGGTACTGGCGTTCACTGCAGCATTTATACACTTGCTGTGTTAGTAATAAAAAAAATGCTATGCTGCATTAGAAAAGAATCTTAGAAAGGCTATATGCCCAATTTTAACAGTGAAAATTTCTTGGTATCAGTAGGTAGTATGTGTATTGATGGCTTTATTTTTTAAATATTATTTTGTATTTTATAACATTTGTACCGTGAACATATATGTATAACAGGAAAAAAATGCCAGTAAGCCTTCATGTTCACCCTCTCCACAAACACTGGCTATGAGCCTAGCTTTGGGGCCTGCTAGCTGAGGCCAGTGTGACCTGGAGGGGAGGCCTTTGAGAACTGGATGGGAGCTCCGTGTGACCTGGAGGGAAGGACAGTGTGATCTGGAGGGAAGGACAGTGAGAACTGGAGGGGGACCAGTGTGACCTGGAGGAGAAGGCAGTGAGAACTGGAGGGGAGGCCAGTGTGATCTGAAGGGGAGTCCAGTGAGAACTGGAGGGGAGGCCAGTGTGACCTGGAGGGAGGCCAGTGTGACCTGGAGGGAAGACCAGTGTGGCCTGGAGGAGAGGACAGTGTGACCTGGAAAGTGGCAACTGCTTCCATCCCACCTGCATCAGGGAGAACCCTGAAGCAGGACAGCAACTAGAATACCCACTGATTTTACACAAATTCCAGGCCAGGGAGAACTGCTAGGATTTAAAGGTGAAAGAACAAAGCTTGGGGCCTTGGAGTCCTTTGCTTGGGAAAATATGAGTTCCCAACAGACAACTATCAGAATGTCCCCAGAGGCTGCCGTCTCTGTGGGTTTCAGCTAACTTATGGAGATTAATTTTTTCAGATGCCATAGAATATGGAGTCTAGTCACCCTGAGAACGAGGTTTTATTGTTTTGAAGATATTCAAAGGGGACACTCACCTGCAGAGGCACCACAGGACAAACCCAAGTCCACAGTAGGGGTCCAAGCAGATGGCCACTTCTCTAGAGGGGTAGAGCTCGCACTGCAGCTTAATGGATCGGCAGAAGGCACTGGTGGCTGCGTGACACATCTATAAGACAGCAGGGCCCAGAGTGATGCAGGACAGGGACACTGCGGACAGTCTGTGCTTTGTTGGGAGAGAGTGGGCTGCTATGTTATAAGTCTTCTCATCCTAATGCGAAAGCCACATGCACGAGCTCCTGGTTCCCAGGACCTCATCACTCGAGCACCTGAAGTACAGAGGTGAGTCCATAAGGGCTTCCTCTACCACCCACTGCAGGCCTGTGGAGCAGCCGGGGGACGTCACCGCTCACGCCTCCTCCTTGGAAGGGGCTACACCTTATTGATGTTTATCTCCAGGCCCCACACTGCGCCTGTCCTGGGACAGGGGACAGCAGGGTACGTGGGCTGCAGCACCCCGTCTCGGGGACCAGGAGATGAGGCTCAGAGAAGGTACAGAGTTGGCTGAAGGTCACACATCTGAGCTGGGACCAGAGTCCGATGCACTGAGACACTATCAGCTGCCAAAATCCACTCTCAGCCCACCATTGAGGGACAGGAATGTGCTTCCCCACTTCCAGTGTCAGTCCCACTATGGTTGGTATGGAATGCAAATTATTTTAAAGTGCTGTAAAACATATCTAATAAAACCAGTTTTCTCATAGAAGCTTTCTAGCCAATCAAACCTAAGAGGAAAAGGAAAGGGGCAGAGGTGCAGGGACCATTCCCAAGTCCTAAGTTAATGTGAAGTAGCATGTCACCAGAGTGGGACTAGTGAAAGCATCAGAATATAAGGGAGGGCCACCCGAGCTCTCAGCTGTTCTGTGGGGAGCCACAGGTGATCAACGTATACTGCACTGTGAGAGGTGCACTGTGCATCCTCTATCTGCCTTCCTTGATGACCCCCATGCATCTAGGACCTATTAGGAATCTTTGGTGTTCAAATTACATTTTTAAACAGGTAATTTTATAAAACTTAATTGAACATATAAACATATATCATGGGGTTTATACTAAATCAGACACTCTAGAGTGCCCGTTATGGGGAAAACAGTCTCCCAGATAAACTTGTCTCTCAACTCTTTGTAGGTAATTGAACACTCAATAACATTTTTGTCCAAAAGCTGAAATTAAATCAGAATTTTTTCCTGAGAAAAATGGTGACCTGTACAATCACATAGGTAGAGGGATTTCCTTCTGGAGAAGACTCTAAGCTAGGTGATTTCAACTCCATTTATGCCTCTCAGTGTTTAAAGCAGGTTAAATGATACCACAATGTATTTCATTTCAGGTACTCATCAGATAAATTTAACTGTCAAAACTTTTAAGAACGACTTTTATAATCTTGAGAGAAAGTCTAGTTATTATCTCTCTGGGAGTTATAGGGCCTATACTTATATTAACTGGAAGCACTAGGGAGTCATAATGTAGATTATTTTATCTCTGCTTCAAGCAGAAATACCTTTATTGAATCAAGATTTAATATTATAGCTCCCACTTTTTGTGGACCTTGAAGAAAATGTATGATTAAAAGTGGGTTTGTCTTTTGGCTATGACAGTAGGAGGCTCAAAACTAATTTCAGTACTATAGTAATTTCTATGGTCTGAACATATATCTTTATTTTTAAAAATTTTAAAGAATTATTTTATTTTATATTGTGCTTTATTTGGTGTATCACCTCAAATTCTACTAAAAATCAGAGGAGAGAATTCTGAGAACATGGTAGAGCAGAAGCCCCAGGCGTCCATCTCCCAGCTGGACAACTGCACTGGCAGACTCTGATGTAGCCAGTTTGGGACTCTCTCTAGGGTGTAGAAGGCTCACAATTTCCAGGGACTTCCATGGTAAACTGCAATTAATTTGGGAGAAATTATGATATGCAAGGTTACAAAAAAAAGTTGAGGAAGTTTATTAGATTAATACTGCTGTGAAAGAAATTCTCAAGAGAGCTCTGCAGGCTGAATAGAAAGACACTAGACATTAAATCGAAGGCATCTGAAGAAATAAAGATCTTAGTAATGGTGAATACAAAGCAGTTATAAAAGCTAGTATAACCGTAGCAATAGTTTGTAACTCCACTTTTTCCTACATGATTTAAGAGATTAATACATCAAAACAAAACAACTGTTAGTCTAAAAACTATTATTATAACTTTGGGTTTTAATTTAACATTTTCCCTACATAATTTAAGAGACCAATGCATTTAAACAAATTATTACTATACATTTTGGGCCACACAATGTACAAAGATATAATTTTGTTACATCAGCAACTGAAAAAGGTGGGGTTGAAGCTGTACAAATACAGTTTTGTATGTTATTGATGTTAAGCTGCTATAAATTCAAAATGGAATGCTACAACTTTAGGATGTTAAATGGCATACCCATGGTAACCTCAAAGAAAATAGCTATAGAATATACACAAAACAAAATGAGAAAGGAATTAAAATTAAAATGTTTCACTACAAAAAATCAACTAAGCACAAAACAAGAAAGTAATGCAGGAAATGAGGAACAGAAAAGCTATTAAGACATATGGAAAATAGACAGCAAGCTGTGAGAAGTCCCTTCTTATCACTCTGAATATAAATGGTTTAACACTCCAATCAAAGATAGAAACTGGCAGAATGGATAAAAACCATGATCCAACCATATGCTACCTACAAGAGATTCATTTTAGATCAAAAGACACAAATATTGGGTTGTCGGAAAAGTCACGACATATTTGTTCTATGCTTTTTGTTGCAAAAATGCGTCATGACTTTTCTGACAACCCAATAGTTTGAAAGTGAAAGGATGACGATATTCAATGCAAATGGTAACCAAAACAGAGAAGAGGTAGCGATACTCATATCAGACAAATAGACTTTAAATCACAAAAGGTTACAGGAGACAAAGAAGAGCACACACCCCAAAGAAGTGACAACAGCGCCTTGAAGAAAGATTTGAACACCCATGTTCACAGCAGCACTAGTCAAAGAAGCTAATATGTGGGAGTGACCCAGGTGTCCACCGACAGATGGCTGGATAACAAAATGTGGTGTGTACACGCCATGGAATATTACTCAGCCTGGGAAAGGAAGTTCAATATAGCAAGAAGATATAACAATTATAAGTATCTACACACCTAGTAAGAAACCATCAAAATATATAAAACAAAAATTGACAGAATGGAAGGGAGAAACAGGCAGCTCTTCAATAAAAGAGACTTCAATATACCACTTTCAATAATGGATAGAACAACTAGGCAGAAGTAAAGAAACAGAGGACTTAAATAACACACCACCACAGTGCAACTCCCAAACAACACAATAAACAGAAACACTCTGTTCAACCACAAAAAAATACACAGTCTTCTCCAGAGTATGTGGGTCATTTTCCAGAGACCATATTTTATGCCACTAATTAAGTCTCAATAGCTTTTAAAAAATAGATATCATACAAAGTATCTTCTCTAACCACAATAAGATGAAGTTAAAAATCAGTAGCAGAAGGAAAACTGGAAAGCCCCCACATTTGTGGAATTTAAACATAGTACTCTTAAACAGCCAATGGATCAAAGAAGAAATCACAAGGAAAATAAGGAAATAATTATATATAAATAAAAATGAAAACACGACATACCAAAACTTATGGGACATAGCAAAAGCAATGTTAAGGCTGAAATTTATAGCTATAAATGGTTACATTAAACATCAAGAAAGATCTCACATCAACAACCTAACTTTACAATTTAAGGAGTGAGAAAAAGGAGAACAGATTGAACTCAAAGCTAGCAGAAGGAAAGAAATAATAGAGATTTGAGCAAGATAAAGAGAATAAAAAAATAGTAGAGATAATCAAAGAAACCAAAAGTTGGTTCTTTGAAAAGCTCAACAAAATTGACAAACCTCTAGCTAGATGGACTAAGGAAAAAAGAAGGAAGACTCAAATTGCTAAAATCAGGAATTAATGTGGGGACATTTACTACTGATTCTACCGAAAGAAAAAGAATTATGAGAGTACTATGAACAATTGTACTCAACAAATTGCACAACTTACATTATATGGAGAAATTCCTTTCCATATAATTTGAAACATAAACTATCAGGAAGGAACACAAAACCTACCAAGACTAACTCATGAAGAATAGAAAATCTGAATAAATCTGTAATTTGTAAGAAGATCGAATCAGTAAAAAAAATACAAACCTCCTGACAAAGAAAAGCCGTAAATCTCACAGCTTCACTGGTGATTCTACAGAACACTAAAGAAGGACTAACACCAATCCTTCTTAAACTTTTCCAAAAAAATGGAAGAGGATGGGAGGATGGAATGCTTCCTAACTCATTCTATGATGCCAAAGCCAGACAAAGACACTACAAGAAAAGAAAACTATGGATAAACAAGCCTTACAAATATTGGGATAAAACCCTAACATACTAGTGGGGTATACTAGCAAATGGAATTCAGCAGCATATGAAAAGGCTATTATACATCATGACCAATTGGGATTTATTCTGAATGGAATGTGAAGATGGCTCAATACGAAAACTAGTATAATATATCATATTAAGAGAATGAAGGGGAGGGAAAAAAACCATGGTCATCTCATTTGATGCAAAAAAGCATCTGACAAAATTCAACATCCTTTTATTAAAAAACACTGAACAGACTAGCAACAGAAGGAAAGTACCTCAAATACTAAAAACAATATATGAAAAAAACACAGCAAACATCATACTCAATTGTGAGAAACTGAAAGCTTTTCCTCTAAGATAAGGAACAAGGACACATACCTTCACCCTTTCTATTCAACAAGGTACTGGAAGTTCTAGCCAGAGCAATTAAGTAAGAAAAATAAATACATCCAAGATGGAAAGGAAGAATTCACATTATCTCTGTTAACAGGTGATAAGACCTTATAGGTAAAAAAGCCTAAAGATTCCACAATTGTTAGAAATCATAAATGAATTCAGCAAAGTAGCAGGAAAAAGTCAATGTGCAAAAGTCAGTTGCATTTGTATACACTAAATGAAAATCTGAAAAGGAAATTAAAACAGCTCCATTTACAATAGCATAAAGAAGAATAAAATACAAAGGAGTTAACTTAACCAAGGAGGTGAAAGGTTTGTACAATGAAAACTATAAAACATTCTTGAAAGAAAGTAGACATAAATGAAAACACATCCCATATATATAGATGTCACTACTACACAAAAAATAGATTTGATGCAATTTCTATCAAAATCTCAATGATATGTTTTGCAGAAATAGAAAAACCGATAAAAAAATTCATATGCAATCTCAAGGAAACCTGAATAACCAAAACAATCTTGAAAAAGTACAAAGCTCAAGGACTTACCACAACCTACAGTCATCAAAACAGTGTGGTGCTGGTATAAAGACAGACATAGAGGTCAACTGAACAGAATAGGACAGGAAAAAACCCTCACATATACAGTCAAATGATTTTTGACAAGGGCGCCAAGACCATTCAATGGGGAGGGATGGTCTTTTCAACAAATGGTGCTGGGATGACTGGATATCCACACGCAAAATAATAAAGCTGGACCCCCAACCTAATACCATGTACAAAATGGATTGAAGGCCTAAAACAACAAAACTCTTAGAAGAAAACATGGGACAAAATCTTGAGGATATTGTAGTTGGCAATGGTTTCTTGGATATGACACCAAAGGCACGGGCAACAACAAAAATAGACAAAATTGGACTTCATAAAAATTTAGAAAATTATGCAAGAAAAGACACTATCTATGGAGTGAAAAGGCAACCCAAAAAAATGAGAGAAAATACTTGCAAATCACATATCTGATAAGGAATTAAATAGTCAGAATATATAGAGAACTTCCAAAACTGAACAAGAAATAAGCAACCCAATTCAAATATGTGCAAAGGACTTGAACAGACATTTCTCCAAAGAAGACATACAAATGGCCAATAAGCACATGAAATGATGCTCCACGTCACTAATCATTAGGAAACGCAAACCACAACGGCAGTGAGATGCCACCTCCCACGCATTAGGATGCCTTCTATCAAAATCACAGAAAACAGGAAGTGTTGGTGAGGATGCTGAGAATCTGAAACCTTTGTTCACTGCTGGTGAGAAGGTAAAAGGGCACAGACACTGCGGAAAACAGTACAGTGGTTCCTCAAAAAATTAAAAACAGAAATCCTATATGATACGGTAACCCCACTCCCGGGAACACACCCCAAAGGACTGACAGCAGCGTCTCAAAGAAAGATTTGAACACCCATGTTCACAGCAGCACTAGTCACAGTAGCTAATAGTGGGAGTGACCCAGGTGTCCACCGACAGATGGCTGGATAACAAAATGTGGTGTGTACACACCATGGAATATTACTCAGCCTGGGAAAGGAGGAGAATTCTGCCCCGTGCTACAGTATGGAGGGACACTGAGAACATTATGCTGAGTGAAACAGGCCAGTCACGAGAGGACAGACACTTCTATGGGGTACTTAGAGGATAAAAATCACAGAGAGAAAGTAGAAAGGCGGATGCAGGCGGGGAGGGGAGAACGGGAGTTATTGTATAATAGGTGCAGAGTTTCAGATTTACAAGATGAAATGAGTTGTATGAGGATTGATGGGGGTGATGGCTGCACATTTTGAATGTATTTAATACCACTGAACTACAGGCTTAAATTGGTTAAGATGGTAAGTTTACATTCTGTGTATTTTGCCACAGTAAAAAAACTGGAGAAGAACACAGACACAGCAAGAGAAGTAAGTGAGCTGAACTGCATCAGGTCAGCAGCCTGACCCCAGAGGCAGACAGCAGGGAAGGGCTTTCTAAGGCTGCGGAGAATGTAACAGCTCTGTGACTGGAACGGCCTGAGCCTGGACGGTCCTAATTCTGGGGACACACAGCCCATTTGCTGATAGGAAAAGGGTTCATTGCAGCTGCTGTGAGCAGCAAACTGGAAGTCATAACGGAACCTGAGTTTTTTTTTTGTTTTTTTTTTTTAATTCTTTTGATTTTGGAACCTGAGTTTAAAAAGTAAGAAGCTGCCAGGCACAGTTGTCTAAGAGTGTTGGGACTCAGGAAGCAGCCAGAGAGACAGAGGCCACTTCCTAATGGGGCTTGGAGGCTGTGTCAACATGAAGAGTTGGACTGTTTGCAGGGAACCAGGCAGTCTCGTTAACCAAAGCGGTCAGGTCTGTGCACGCCCTCCTCCGCTCCCAGCAGGCTCTCAGAGGCCCCGAGGCTCACCTTCACTCCCGCTAGCATCCCGGTCGTCGACACGCTGAAGTCCAGGTAGGCCAGCGTGTCGGGGTTGGACGGCTTGTAGATCTGGGCCGGCCGCTTCTTTGGCAAATCGTCTGGAGAGCAAAGCGAAGTGATGAGCCCGTCTCATGGGAAAAGCATGGGACAATATGCACTTGGGCAGGTGGGAGGCTGACCTGTGTCCAGAATGGGGGGCCATGTCCTGACGTCCACAGCCGCAGCTGCCTCCCTGGACCGTAACAACTTACAGATCAGTTGTGTTGTCATCAAGCAGGCAGAACGGCTCACCTGAGGGTCAGAGGACAGAGGAGGGAGGAAGGTGTGTTGCCCGCTCACATGTGGCAACCTGCAGCTCCCAGAGCAGCTGGACCAGCAGGAGCACGGCTGCCTGGTGAGAAGCCAGTGTGGTGAGCCAGGGGTTAGGCGGCTGGGAGTCTGACCCAGGGGCTCAAAAGCGTCAGTACATTGACACTTGTATGCAGAAGGCAAGGGCCCTGTGGGTCCCCAGGAACTCCTAGAGCTGAGGGGGGTCCACAGCGCTGTGCTCAGAAAAGGGGCTTCTGAACGTAGCCTGGCACTGCAAGCAGCCCTACTGGAAATGCCATGTGTGTCCACAGAAACAGATGTAACGACCACGAAAGTTCTCCCACATGGCTACTAGAAAGGTCTCACCTATGGTGTCCCCACACTAACCTGTCCCTTGTGCTCCTCCTCCAAGGAGACATTTCCTAATCCCCTTAAACTTCCCCAGTATAAACCAAATTAAAACAAATCTGTTTTCAAAACAGAACAGGACACCGCCCAAACATTGAGGGAAAGACTTGCAGACTTTGTGGCCTTTCCACTTGGTTGGCCTTGGTGATGGCAGGGGATGGCTCCTGGGGAGCTGCTCTGTGGAGGGGACGCCCCGCTCAGAGGCTGCCCTATAGCCCTACATACACGCAAAGTGGGGTGCTTGCTTCCCGAGCTGTGGTCAGGTCCTGGGCAGAGGCCGCGCCTCCCCCCGCTGTCCCCCACACCACCATCCCTGAAGCCCAACTCTGATCCATGGGGCTTGGTGCTGTTACCTCCACGATCATCTTCACAGTGGGCAGCGTGGTGGCGATGTTCTGGGGGTGCGGGGGGCGCACGGTGATTGGCACACAGCCCGCATACAGGCAGCCGTAAAAGGCTGTGATGAGGTCTATTCCTGCGGGAGAAGAGCAGGTCTCATGGAACGGCTGGCACCCCAGCAGAATGCTGGCCTGGGAGACATCAGCGGGCCACGCGGCAGCAAAGACCTTGCACGCCTTTCCCGTCCTGTGAGTTTGGCTAAGCTCTGGCCACAACTTCCACCTGGCCTGATCTGCGGGCTGAGATGCTGAAGCAGCCCTGAAGCTCAATTTCTGCCATTCCTTTATGGAATTACTCATGTGTGATTATCAATCTTTAGGTTAAGGACTTAAACTACTATTGACTAAATGGACGACCTCAGATATCTAATAAAGCAAGTTTAGACACAGAAGTCTTTGTGAAATTCACTTCTTTCATGCCCCTAAAAGTCACACAGCATTGGCACAGTCCCTGCCAGTGGCAGTAACCAGGCACACATGAGCACAATGTGACTTCTCGGGAATGACACACAGCTCAGGTCACCAGGCACCAACACGTGCAGTAAGGTGCCTCGAGCAGTGGCTGGCCCTGCCTTTTACCTGGTGGGTAGACGAGAGCAACGTGGTCCCCATCTTGCAGGCGCCCCCTCTCCATCAGCATGACAGCTATCTTCTCCGCTCGTTTGTGCAGCTGCACACACGTCAGCGAGTTCGCTATTGTCCCCTGAGTATCACAAGACAAGGAGGAAGCCAGGTTTCCTTAACATAACAGCTTTATGAGATGTACTATACAGTTCACTTATTAAAATGTACAGTCAGGTGGATGTCAGTATATTGACACTTGTGCAACCACCAGTCACTTATAGAGACTTTTCATTAAAACTCTGAACCATCAGCTGTCTCTTCCCTCCCCCACCACTAGCCAGGAAGTACAGCACCAACGAGGCATCCAGCTATCTTTACACTAACAAGAAATGTTTACAAATAATTACTTGACCTAAAATAGCTAAAGTTATGGGAAAAAAAAAACCAAACTAGTAATTTTGGGACTTAAGTATAATTGCCATGGGCAATGAGATTAGCAGTCAGCTTGCAGGACTATGGAAAATAAGACCAATTAAAAGTGTCTATTAAGAAAGACTTAATCAATTTCAGCGGAAACTGCACTCGTAACAACCACAGAAATGATGCTTCTGGCCTTCAGTCCAGGCTGAGTGCTTGTCATGAGAGTTCATGTGGGGTTGGAGGGGGTGGGGATGGACTCAGGACTCTCTGTGCACCCCACTCTCCATGTTCGGGGCCTTGGTCTACCATTTGACTGTTATTTCTGATGGAGCCCCTTTCAGGGTCCCAGTTGATGAGGCAAAAAGGGAGTTAATAAAAGTGAGCTCAAAGGAGGACTGCCCAGGTCTGCATCTCCTCCCCAGGAACCGCCCAGGCTTGACCCCTAGAAATAAATCAAAGTGTCCAAACACTCCTAAAAAGTGGAGGTAAGACCTGACTGGTTCTAACTGGTTCCTCACATGTGCGCAAACTGCTGAAACCTCTCCATTACTTGACCTCTAACCTCATTATGATACAATTAAAATAAAATGAACATTAAGGCTTGTTGCCCCCTCCCCCCCGTGGGTTTTTCTGTATGCATGATGGGTAAGAGCATACGTAGAAAGAGACTAGTTATATAACCAACATGTGTCAATCAAACGACCTCAGAGGGACGACACGTCTCCTGCTGTAAGAAAATTTACCTACCCATTTCTATATAAGAAAAAGTTAGCCTAGAGTATGCAGCAGCTGTTTCCCTGAGTTTCCTACCTCTTGACTGTAATAAAAACATTTCCTTGTCTTTTCACTTTTCTGTACCTCGTGAATGCCTTCAAACTTTGCGAATGACCAGGGGTATCAAAAGACTACACCAGTCACTTCCAGTGAACACGTTTTCCCAAAGATCCAGTGTCTGGCTATAGCAAGTGACTGAGCACTGGGTCAGGAAATGCACATCACACAGGTTAAAGGAGATTAAAGGAAATTTGAAAGTAGATTTTAAAGTAAAGTAAAGCAATACTTTAATTTACTTGATGTATTCTAATTATACTTGTAAAATAGAAATGATTTTCATTCCTAAGAATTCAAGTCTATAATTAAAACCTAATTTCCTACTTATAAATAACAGTTTAGTAATAAAAGTAAAGACATACACAGCCCATAGATCTTTAATTGTTCTGTGCTATAGAGACCATTTGGGGGGGAAGAAATGCAGAAACAATTGCTAAAATACATACGTACATACACACACATACAGGCAAATGCACAGGCCCTTGCATTTGGAAGAAACCCTTCCTAAGGGAAAACCTTTGTTAAAACAGCATACTGAGTCCCTCAGACTTGCTCAGCAGGGTGGGGACAGCGCAGCAGTGCATGGAGGTGAGGATGTAGGAGGGCGGGGCAGGTGCAGTGGGGGCGGAGACAGCGAGGCAGCCTGGGGTGGAGTGGGGCGGGCTTAGGAGGATGGGGCAGCACAGCGCTCACCCTGCAGTTGAGCAGTGTGTAGAGCACGTGGTCCGGGGTGGTCTGCGCCCTCCATTGCAGGACCTCAGACAGGAACAGGAACTGGAACAAAGCATAGGGTTAAGCTCGGACCCTGAGTGTGTGCTCTTGGGGGGATGTCTGCACAGAGGAAGGGTGACACTCTGACCAGAGCCGTAGGCAGAACAAGTTCAGTGTTCTCCCACAGTGACTCCACTGGAGTTCACATGCGGCCCAGTGGGATCTGAATCTGTGTTGTGTCCCCCCATCTCCCCCCCCCACCAGCAGCTGACCCAGAAAACCACCTTCTGGGGCTTCTAGGAGGTGCCATGTGACTTCTGGGGCTGCAGTGGCAGAATGGGCTTTATCCTGTTGTGACACAGGCTCGTGTCAATGTGTTGTTTAGAGTGGCCACTCCTGATGTCATTCAACGGTACCGCAGATGGCAGGGACCATGTGTATCACACTGACTCAGGATGCAGGGAAAAGGTCAGCCTCCTTCATGTCAGTTTGGGAAACCCTACGTGTGCCCTTAATCCATTTTATTATGGAAATGAGCTGTGAGGGGAAACGGTGACCATGGCTTTCAGTGAGCACATCACTGTATGTTACCAAATTCGCAGTATTTCAAATGGTTTTTGTCACATTTCCTGGTAGCCATACAGTGCAGGCCCACCTCTTGCTGAATGGTTATAATAGGACTGGTAGCCACTCATGACAACTGTACGGTGTCTTTGGTGGCATGGGGCTGGGGACTTCTCCTACATCCCTGAGGCTACTTTATTAAACAGGCCTGGCTCCCAAAAGTGGTTTGAACTGAAGTCCCCTTGCACTCATACAAATGACGGAAGCCTTGCAGCAAGGCTGCCATGAGGCACTGTGGTGCCTGCCCATCAGGGCTGTGGGGAACTGGGAGCATGTGCTCAGGGACCAGGACTGACAGGGCTTCCCAGACGCTGGCCCCAGGCCTGCCAGCTGTGAGACTGTCACCCACCCATCTCTGCCACTGCCTCGTGTTCTGCAACACTGCATCCCCAACACACGCTTTCCTTATAAAGTTATGTGAGTGTCTCCTGGGCAGCTCTCACCTTCCGGGCCTGGTCATTGTCCTCTATCTGCCCCAGGTCTCTGCCACTGGCCTGCGCAATCCTCTTCCCAGACACCAGGTTCCCCACCATCACAGAGGCGGGGCCAATTTCTGGAAAGAAACGATGGCACACACGTGAGGAAAGCAATGAAATTCCCCAGAACACAACGTCCCACCTTGATAAAGTGCTTACTCTGGAGAAACTCTTTCAAAGAACTGGCTTTGAAAGAATCTTCTCAAAACAGGGTTTCAGAGGTCGCTGTGATGACGATGGCAATACAAACAAGCCTCAATCAGGATACGTGAAGGAACGTGTCCACCAAGCCCCTAGGGCCACTGCGCCCACTGCCCTTACTGTGCAGTCGGGGGCTGCTGAGGTCTTGTCATGTTATGCCTATAGAAATGCTGCAGAGGACAAATAGGAGCTGAACGCCTGGCTTGCTTGAGGGGAAATGGTGGAAGGCTCCTGGGCTGCGAGTCTGGCTGCCTGGTGTCAGCGCACGTCGCTGAGGGCCCGCCGTGAACAAGCAACACACTGCTGTTCCATTGACCGAAAGGCCCATTTTCTCCACCAGCCCCACAGAAATGCGGTGGCACAAAATCCCCAACTCGATCGGCATGCTCCTTCAACAGTTTATGACACATTTCAAAGAAAAAAGCTGATACCATCTTGTGGCAGCTTTCCTTTTCCTTTTTAATGAAAAAAGGTTTCTTAAAGAACTATGGTAATGCTTTCAAAATTTCTGACAGCAGCAAACCCTCGATCCCCTCAGGTTTCTAAAGTACAACTATCTGCAGTTTATGTCCATCAAACAAGCCAAGACATACATGTAATAGCAAAAAGGTTAGGCGTTCCAGGAGGACGCGACAGTGTATGTGGGACAGTGTGCACGTGAGTGTGTGAGCAGTTATGAACAAGTGAGAGCGTGTTCATGTCTGAGTATGAACATGCCAGCGTGGATATGAGCATGTGTGATTGTGGGCATGTGTAAAAGTGTGTGAGTGCATGTGTGTGAGTGTGAGCGAGTGTGCGTGTGAGAGACAGTAGGGAGGAGAGGAAGTGAGACAGGAAAGCTGAGAGATGCTGACCCAAAGACCTGAGGTTTAAAGTAACAAAGATGACGTCAGTGTTGAGTCCTGGCTGTGACCAAATGCAAGCTGAGGCCCCTGTGAGTCCCATTCTTATTAAACTTTTGATGGAGGTGATAAAGTGAACTGGCATCTTAAGATGCGTAACCATAGAGTTGGGAGGACTGTGGGTACAGCTGGGCCCCTTGTTAACTCTATAACCCTGACTTCCAGTTTATCCTTATGGTAATTTCTGGGGGAGGGATCATAATAAAGGGATTAACCATTTTAGAACTGGGGTCTTTTGCTGCACGTGGGCTGCCAGTAGGAGCTACGTGTAGGTGTGCTCTCTCACACTGTGGTGGTGGTCTGGCTTCTTTTTCTTTTCCTGAATAAACCTTTTCTTTTGTGGATTACTTGGAGAGTTATTTTTTGCCAGTCAACAGAGGCAAGTTACAGGCTTAGAAATCGGGAGTGGGGGGAGAATACTTGTGGATTTAGGGTGTGGTGACACTGAACAAGGTACACAGTTGCCATGACAACCGCCTCAGCAGTCACAGGGGAGTGATGGGGAGTGCAGGGGTGAGTGCCTCTGTCCCTTGGACCACTATCTCTGTGGGCACATCACCGTAGACACATGGCTGTCCAGAATCCACTTTGCCACAGACAGTCGACTCCACAGCTCCACCGGACATGACCTCGTGCCTCCAGGCAGGACCAGACTCAGGGAGGTCTGTAGCAACTTTCTGGGCTCCTGCCTGCATGTGTCTTTGATTTCAGATGTTTGTAGGAGCCCTGATGGCAGTTTTCATGTGTCATAGGACAATAGGACATGCCTTACACACTCAACTAAATCACATTTGAATTTTCATGTGTGGGAGTTTGGGACGAGTCAATTTCTTTTCTCAGCTCTTAATAAAAAAACATGGAAAAGACAATTAGGCACCGTGGTGGGTGCGGAGCTGCAGAGCGCTGCTGTGTGGCTGGAGTGAGAAAGCTGCTGCCGGACGGGCGAATTCCCTCAGTCAATGGCCATGGCCATGGCCGTGCTCGCCAGTTGCTTCCTGTCTCCAGTTCTGTGACAAAGTGCCCCACACATTTCCTGGAAACTGGCCGAAACCAGTCTGAAGGCATCTCCATAATTTTTTTAAGAATTCAAACTAGGGTAGGACAAGCACTGTTTCAGGGTCAGGTTTTCAAGGTGCCCTATTTTATGCTTCTCTGTTGCTGGTCACTGAGTTTATTTCTGCTTGAGTTCTCTGGAAGCAAAGCTTGGGTTTTATGTCTCTCTCCCTGCATGGACTTAAGAGTTTGTATTTTCTGAAAGTTGCTGGGAGACAGGCAGCTTTCCTGCTGCTTTAATTTACAAACTTCCTTAGAACTGAAAGTGTGTGGCTGAGATCGACCCACGTGTGCTGAAGTGCATGCTCCCTCCCTCTCCCTACACTTCACCTCATGGATTTACAAATCTGCAGTGCTGTCCAGCCCCTGCCCAACCACTGGTTAGTGCAGGGCCATGGGCAGCTGCATGTGACAGTGGCGTCCCGCTCCCAGAGGGCCCAGCTCTCTGGGCCATCGCTCAGGTCCACACCAGCATCTTTGATACAATGTATCCAGCTGCTTCCATAATTTTTATAACACTGTTGCTGGCCCAGCTGATGGGTTAAAGGTCTATTAACAACAGAAATTCATCCTGTTAAAAAGGCAATTAGGTTGTCTACAAATTAGCTACATTTTAGGGGCTCTGTTTCAAGCATGTAGCAACACACAGAAGTGGCCTCACTGAATTTTGTTTTCTGCCCAGGAGTACCTGTTCCCAGTCATAATTTTTATTCCACAGGGGCCTTAGAAGTCATCCAGTCCATTCCCCTCACTGCACTTCCGAGGACCCTGGGAAACGTCACCTGCCTAAGGGACATCACAGGTCAGCTGAGCTAGGGAAATTGAGGACACTTCACAAGTGCCATTTAGTGTTCGATAAAAACTGCTTTCTGAAGACACAGAATTCCATAATCTCTTAATATTTCACAAGAACACATGGGACCAAATAGCATTAAAAAAAATCTTTCCATGGAGTTATCAGTCACCATAAGCTCCATGTACCACATCACAGGGTAAAGTGGTCCCGGACCTCCCTGGTGACCCTTGCCACACCTGCCCTGAGGCAGAAGACTGTCTCCACAGCCAAATACTTGGGCCGTTCCCCTGGGCCATGCTTCTCGTGTGAGTGCCTCAACAGCTGGCAGGTGAGCTGAGCCCAGAGCCCAGGAACTATACGCATTTGCAAACGACCCCTTCACAGACACTTGTCCTGAATCCCACTGTCACCCACTGCTGACCTTCGGGGCACCATGACCTTCTCTGCACCTGGGCCACTAGGTCAAGGGCATCTGATGATGAATGGAGGTGGACAGTGACAGGGACATTCCAGTTACCTCCTGCTGTGCACGAGGACCCCAGGGAGCCTGACATCATTACCAACGCAACACACAAGACAACCATGCCCAGACAGCACATCCCCAGTTCCGCCCATGCCCTGAGGTGAGACAAAGAGGCGAATGTCACCCTGGGTGATGCTGTATTTCTGAGGCCCCCACTTGAAGTCAGGGTACCAACATCAGCACAACCCTATATTTCACAACAGCAGTCGTGTAAACCAGGGATTGAGAGCAAGAATGAAGGTAGGAGGAGAAAGAAGTAGGGGACAAATATCTGTTATAGAAACCTGAACAGAAATGAAAGAGCAGACTTAACGCAAACCCTGTACCACATAAGCTGCATTCTGGTGGCCAGATGTCTGGACAGGAACTGCTGTGGCAAGGCGGCCACTCCTCCAGGAGGGAACACCCAGAGGAGACAACTCCACAGGCTCCAGGCCGACCTGAGGCTGTGCAAACATGCCTGGCCCTTGGACATACCTGGCTGCTTTTGTCGAGGTTTAGGCAGGTTTGTGACACAAGTGTGGGGGCACATCAGGACATTGCAGGGGTGAAGCGAGCCCTCCAGGAAAAGCTGCTTTGTTTCTGACAGATGGATGCCACCAAGCGGGGTCTTGGGGAGGGTGTTGGCTGGGACCAAGGCCAAGCAATACACCCCAACCTGGTGAATGCTGTCAATAGCCTAGAAGTCATGAGAGGGGACAGTGTCAGCACAGGGCTGAGAAGAGACCGGGAGCACACAGGACATGCAAGGCTGCCCACAGCATGGGGGCACAGTGTGCCGAGGGTGCACAAGCCATGGGGGCTGCCCCCAAGCTCGCCATGCTGAGGGTCAGAGGGATTGGAGGCACACACATGGATGGGAGGTCGGGGGGAAGAAATACCCTCGGGGTCATAACAAACCTAACTCGTGACCGCCACGTGGACGGCAGGATCATCTGCAAACCTCTGACCCAAGCTTGGTCTAATTGCAAATCTGAGTTTCAGAGTTGGCATATTTCTGATTAAATGCAGTGACGACTAGGGACGCACCAGTGACAAGGGTCGGCCACATGCTAATAGATGCTGCAGAAATGGCTGCAGGCCCAGGTGGGGTAAGGGCTACCTGGAGGACCCTGCTCATCCACTGGAAGCTGTCCTCCTCTGTGGAGTCTGGTCGCTGCTCAGCCACAATCACGATCCTCTCATCGTGCAGGACGGTCACTGAGAACACAGCTATCCTGTGGGACAGAGGGAAGGCGCGGTGAGCGCACACTGGCGGCGCTTGGGGGTGAGCAGTCTGCAACAAGGAACTTCAGGGCCCTGGTCACAGGGCTGGTGATCCCAGCGCAGCAGCCACTTTGGAAAGGCCATCTCCTGCCAGGCATTCACTAAGGAAGGTGCCGCTGCAAGGCTGGGGGACAAGTCCCCACCTCTGAGCACCACAGGAGACCCTACGACCATCAGAGCTGCTGAGGTTTAGTTTAGATAACCCCTGATTCCCATCCTGGGTTTGCACCTGCGAAGCAATGTTCTCCAAGTCAATGGACACTTTCCACTGGGGAGCTAGGCCTTTCTGCTAGTCAGCCTGTACCCAGCACAGGGACACGGTGACCCAGCGCCCAATGCCCCTTCGCGCAGAGAGGTGTGTTTACGAAGGATTCTAAAGCAGTTCATGACTTTCTTAAAATGAGCCTCATGGGAGGGGCTGCAGTGACCTGGGGCGTCAGGCAAGTGGGGCGCGGTCAGTACAGGGAAGCAGGGAGCCAGATTCCCACACAGGTTTGTCGCTCAGCTCGTACCTTTGGGTCTTCTGTGAGGACCTGAACCAAGATGAGTATTTGGCTCTTTATATAGTTATTTATTGAAAATAAGTTTTCAAATGGATATTTTAACCTAACTTAGAGGGGAAGTTAATGAAAATGGTGCTTGGAAAATTTCTACAAAATTGGACATTCAGAAAACTAGGTGGAACCTCAAAGGTCACTGCACCTGGGTGAGTCCTTCACAGGCGAGGAGGCCAAGTTGGGTCAGTGGGAGGAATTCGTGTACTTTCTATAGAAAGTGTGGTGTGCAGGGAACTGTAAGCTGTCCCGGAGGGTGCACTCACCTCCCCCGGTAGACGAACTTCATGGGCTCCACCGCCAGGGCGGTGGCCACGATGTCATCTGCGTTGTGCCTGCGCCCGCTGACCACCATGAGCCCATCCATCTTGCCTACCACGAAGACGAGCCCCCCAGGGCCGACGAAGCCCAGCAGGCCTGTCCTCACGAAGGGGTACTCGCTGACCGGAGCTCCCGAGCTCGCCACAGGAAACACCTGGGGAAGCAGGAACTGCGAGTGCCCAGCCCTCTCTGCCCTCCGTCTGGCTGCCTCCTTTCCCAAGCCCCTGCGCAGGCAGGTCCAGGTGCCACTGGCAACATCGCAGACCTGACGGCCCCACTGTCCCCAGCTCCTCCCGATGTGGTGACCTGGAGCCTGTGAGGGCGGGGCCCAGTGGCCATCACCACAGCCCAGTAAACACTGGTTCTTCTGAGGCCACAGCCCAGAAGTGATCAGTGTAGAACCAGGTGCACCTTGAACATTTTTCAGTCATGACACTAAAATACACTTCCTCCCTGGGACAACACTGAAGAAAAGGTATGGGGGAAACCATGGGCGTTCAGGCTGCAGCCGTCTCCCCAACACCCAGCAGATGGGTTCCACAGAAAAGGAGATGGGGCTTCCGTTTACACCGAGGAAACTGAGTCATGCTCAACAGCCACAGCTCCAGGCCTTAAGAAACGTGTTTTCAAACCACTTCATCAGAAAGTGTGCCCCTGGGCCGGCTGAGTGGTGCGTTGGTTAAGGGCTTGGGGCACCAGAGGGCCCCGGTTTGGATCCCACATATGAGGGCCAGTGACACTGCCCTCCACAGCTAAGATGCTGAACAACAGCTCAACCTGGAGCTGGGCTGTTGTGAGTCGCCGGCGACAGCAGGTGGGTTGCCATGGGCTACCGTGTGTAGCCAGCAGCCAGTGTGAGCGGCCAGCAGCTGCTGTGAGTGGCCGTCCAGAAGCCAGCAACTGATCTGCCTCGCCTGGGAAGAGCCCAATGATGGTGCCAATTTGGGCCAGTGAAGCAACATCCTCCACAACTAGACTGAAGAACAAAAGGATAGCAACTTGTCTGTTCCCCTTCCCCAAATTCCCCCCCCCAAAAAAAAAATCTAAAAAAAAAAAAAGAAAGTGTGCCCCTCCCAGGGTCAGTGTTACTCGGCCAATGACAGACTCTGGGAATGCTGAGCTCCGGACTATGTCCCCTCAACCTGTCACTCACAAGGCCAGTATGTATGTGCAAGTGTGTGCTCATGCCACATGTATGTAGACATGTGATGTCTTGCGTGTGCACATACACTACACATATATGCTCTGCACATGTGCATAGACCACACACACCTGCTTGTGCCATGGAGAGGCATTTACATGCACATCTGCCCATGTGTGGCCAAGTGTGTTCTGGGCTGACAGGCCGCAGGGCAGGGCACGCCTTGCAGCGAGGCTGTGCCATGTGTGCACATCCTCTTCCCCCTCTGCCCGCTGGCACTCGGACCAGACAGGCAACAGGGAGAGAAGCAAGAGGCTGAAAAGGCCCGTTATTAAGCAACTGTACTTGCCCTTTCTAGACGCTGGTTACGAGGTGAAAACCATGCCGATAAGCCAAATTTACTGAAAACTATAAAAAAATGGCAGGAGAAAGTGCAACCACTGGAACAGCTGTGAAAACGTCTTACTGAGAAATTACCGCCTTCTCTTTCACACCAACCCCTGGCAGTGGTGCTTGGCAGCCCTACCTCGAAGGTGTTCTTGGTCATGCCGGACAGGCCGTAATAGGACGTCCCCGTGGCCACCGCACACACACACAGCTCCCCGATCTCATCCGTTCTGCACAGCTGCGGGACCCCATCTGGCTTCACGGAGCATGTGATGGCTGAACATGGATGCATAGATGAATATGGAGGAAACGCACATGAACAGAAATGGCATGGGGACAAAGCCAGTGTGACAAGGAGACAGCAAGCCGGGCAGCCATTGTCCCTAAAGGGAGTCACAACTTTCCATGTGGCAGCAAATGTCAGATTTCATGGCTGTGACATCAGTGGGCAATTCCAACTGCTTTAATTTTAATGTGCAAATTATATTAAGGGGAGTAGCCCTTTCTGTCACTTAGACATGAGGATAGCACTCAGAGTAATCCTAAGAGTCATCAGCCACAGCCATGCCATCAGCAAAACGCGGGGAGGGGGCCCCACAGGAAGGGGATCCCAGGGGGAGGGGGACTCTGTGTGAAGAGGGCCCAGGGGAGGGGGAACCCATGGGAAGGGATCCCTGTGGGAAGGGCACCCAGGGGAGGGGGGCCCCGTGGGAAGGGATCCCTCTGGGAAGGGGACACATGGGAGGGGACCCTGTGCCCAGTGCACCCTCTCGGCCTCTGGAACACTGGGGTTTCTGTTACTAGGAGGGGCAGCGTTACTGCAAAACCGTGAAGCTTAGTGGGATGAGGAGGTTGGAGCTAAGCAGCATCCCCAAAGATCCCACCCGAGGCTGTGGTGCCCTTAGGGGAATACTGATAACTGGCCCAGCCCTGGTCAGGGTCCTGACCCGAACTCCCTGCTGTCAGAGCCCGGGGCCCACACGCACCTCCAGGCATCACGAGGCCGACATCCTGCACAGTCAGCACAGACAGCTTTTCCTCTGAGTCCACACGGATGACCCCGTAGGTAAGCCCGTGCATGGATAGGACGCCGCGGCCTGGGGGCTGGTTGCTGTCATCTGTGGGCCTGTAAGAGAGGCGGCGTCTGAACACGTGGCAGCAATGGGCCATGGTGACTGAGGCAGCGCCTCTGGGCCCCACAGGACTCCTGAGAGCAGACCTGGCGGCTGCCGCAGTCCCATGCGTAGGTCAGGGGCCCTGCCTTCTCCGTTTTTGAGATGGTTTGTTTCCCATAGCTCTACCTCTGGGCTTCCAGAGTACTTTAGAAGCACCTCCGGAACGTGAAGACACTGCAGTGTTCCCGGCACCCATCCTTACATGCGCCCACAGACGGCTGTCCCCATGCTCTCTCTCTGCGAGGCTGTATTTTCCAGTTTTGAAAATGGTGCAAAAGGGAGAGGAATGCTCCCAAGAACACAGACAATGGCAGGGACTGGAGATGGCAGGAATTCCACTTGTCCAGCCTCACATTCAGACGGACACTGACTGTGAAATGAGGTGGACACTACACCATCTTGATGCCAAGTCCTTAGGGACATTGCCCAATGAGAGGCATGCGATCACTTGCTTTACGGTCACGAGATGCATGGTTTGGATTCAGCAGTTTCACTGCAGCCACAGTCAGCCCTGTCTCCCCTACCTCACTCCAGTGCCCGGCCCCCCACCTGGGTTCTTCCCGCAGACGTCCACCTGAGTCCCCTCACTGTCCTCTGGGGAGGCTCAAAGGGGTGCTTGCTTGTCACCCCATAAAAACAGCACTGCCCTCTCCTATCTCCACAGCTGGTGCCCCCTGACTATCTGTGCCCGGCTGCCTCCATCAGGGTCTGAACCTCCCAAGGATGGCCAGGTTCCTTGCGTCACTGTGTCCCCTCCCCTGGGGAAGTCAAACGATACATGTCTGTTGACTGAATCAGTGAACAAAGAAAACATTTCAAAGGTCATGGACTTAATCCCTGTGAACTGAGAGCACAATTTAGGGCAGCACCCCCTTTATGTCTGTAATTCTCCATACACAAAATATCACGAAGGTCTATAATGAACCTAAAAGCATAAATGGGGAAACATGAAAGCTAAAATTTATAAAAGGAGCTCTCGTTTCAATCGAGCAACTGGTGTGTTTTCAAAAGAAATATATGCTATATGTTAATTATAGCTTGAAAAATAAATAAAAAAGCACCAGAGTCTGGAAATAGAATTACTTGTAGGACTCAAAAAGGGCAGAGCCAATGGATAGAAAAGTCTGCCCGAATAGTAAGAGCCATGTGAAACTACCAGAAACGACGAGCTCAAACACTGGAACCCAAAGAGCCCAACACATCCAAGCTTGGAAATGGCAGTGAGGAGCCCCTGCTGCCGGGACCCTCACTTGCGACTGTCCCCAGCAAAGACCCAGGGGACAGTCAGAATTCAGAAGCCTTAGTATCTGTTGTGCGTTGAAGTGGTCCCCCAAAAGGCATGTCCAAGTCCTAACCCCCAAGATCTGAATGGGAACTTATTGGGAAATAGGTGCTTTGCAGGTATAACTAGACAAGACGGGCTCATACTGGAGTAGGGCGGTGGGCCCCTAATCCAATGACCAGAGTCCTTAGACAAAGAGAAAAAAAACAGACACAGGGGTAGGCCGTGTGATGACAAGAAGCGAGTGGGGTGAAGTGCCTATGAGCCGGGGCACAGGAAGAGCTGCTGGAGGAAGCCCGGAACGGGGTGCCTGGAGCCTCTGGGGCCCACCTGTCGCCACTGTATTCCAGAGTTCCAGGCTCAGGAACTAGGAGGGGACAGGTTTTTGCTGTTTAAAGGCACCCAGTTTGAGGTGCTTTGTCATGAGAGCCACAGGAAACAGGCACACTGTGTTAAAAAGTCACATGAAAGCAAAATGCAGGACGAGCCCAGGGCACAGCCCGACATGTGGTGACGGGGAGGCCTGGCGGACAGGCTCTGTTAAGATGCCACAGCGTGCAGCCTGCCGTCTTAGTCACAAGACCCACTTCCCACGTTGGTAGTGGCCAAGCAGCCAGGCTCCTAAGGGTGATAAGCAAACACCCTACATTACAAACTGTACTTGTTATAGGGCATTTTCAGTGACATGTATAAAGTGATGGCTACAGGAGACCGAGTCTCCTTACAATGCCAACCAGCGACATTAACCCTGCGTCACTTCAATGTCCCACTCTGTATTTCTAGGTGACAAGTCCAGGCTAAGCAGAGACGACTCAGACCTGAGGCTCTTTTCCTGGCAGATGTGCACAAAGGCAGAACAGAGGTCGGGGATCCCCAGACTCAGCCTTGCCCCCCGACTTTTCTGTAGGACCTGCTGACTGACAGCACCTGCTTCCTGATGACAAAGTTTTGCTCAGTTGACGCTTTGTGTCCCAGCCTGCCTGGAGACAGAAATGCTACCCTAGTTACCCATGTGAGTGGAGGGCTTGGTGGGTCCCAGGCCAGGACCCCAGCCCATGCTTTCCCGACACTTTCCTGGCCACTGGCCTAGAGACGGAGCACATGCTAGTTCATGCCGTTTCCTTTTATGAGATTTTACAAGAAATGACATGAGCACACCCTTGTACTTACAAGTCGAACACTACGGGGCACAGCAAAGGACGAAAGCCCCTGCGTCCCCGCCACAGGCTGCCGACACCTCCACGGAAGTCCCAGCATCCCTAAAACGCATTTGCGTGTGACATGCGTATGCACGCGAACGCATTCATGTTAAAGAGCAGGACCACACATGGAGGTCTCTTCCTGTGTGAGTGTGTGTGCGCGCGCACGTGTGACCCTGTGTAATGTGTGAACCACACATGTACTGAACTGAGCTGTTAGGTAGCATTCAGTAATGTGAATATAAAATCGCTTATTTTATTCCATTTAATTTTATAAAGTCAGAAGTATTTCCATCAGATACATACTTAGAAAGGGAATGGAAGAACCCAAAATGCACACTGACAACTTTCATAAACTTCAATAAAGCCTAAGCATCCCCCAGGACCTGCAGCACCTTGCACCCCACTATGTGCTGTCAGTTAGCTGACAGGCACACTGAGGGGCCACCTGCAGAATGCTGTGTCAGCACTCTGGCACAGTGACCGGCCTGTCGTAATGGCAACCTGTGAGCCAGGCAGGAGGGCCGCCAGGAGGGGTGGACCCAAGCGGCCAGCTCAGTGGTCAGTGGCCTGTCAGCACCTAGCGGAAACAGGGCATCCAAGTAGAGAAGCTGGAAAAGGAAGTAAAAAATAATCCCAGTAAGCAGAGTTCCTGCAGATTCCAGAAACAGTTACTTTCATGATCAAAAACAGTGAGTTAAGTGGTGGCTGAGGGAGCTACGGGTCAGCTTTCAGGATCAGCCCCAAGGTAACATGCACAGGAGGCCCTCACACTTGGAGGAGGAGGAAGGTGTGGCCAACAGTGCAAAGCCGGGTAAGGGACAGCGACCCGAATTCAAGGCGCTGAGGAGGGAGGCACACGTCAGCCTCAGCAGCAGGCCAGGGGCGAGTGGCCTCAGGGACACCGTTCGCGCCTGTTTACTTGTCACGCCACTTGCAGCCTCTAACATATTAGGCAGGTCCCTGGCTGCTCTGGCTTCGGTGACACCTGAAGGCACAGAGTCTACACATCTCAGTGACCACACCTACAGCTGGGTCGCACTGGCCACAAATGGCCTGGCCCAGCTCAAGCATCAGCGCGAAATAAACAGACTCAGGTGGGCGACAGGCAGTTGTACCGGTTTCCGTCCCCAGGACTCATCCAGTAACTTGGTCACATCTACCAACGCTGTCACTTGCCAAACCCTCGGCCAGCAGAAAACCAGGCCTCTTGTCCTACATGGGCTGGCTCTGGTCCAATGATTCAGAACCGGGGACATGTGCTGAGCAAGGAGCTAAGTAATCACTTAGCACAAAGTTCTGCAGGACTTTAAATGCTCAAATCCCAAGGTGAGAATTTGTCCCAGCCTTCCTGTGGGCACAGAAATGGGCAATTTCCTCTAAACTCACAGGACACAGAAAACAGCCTGGGAGGAGTGTGTTGATAAGAATCACGTGTGAGTGCGGTTTTCATCCAAAATGTTTGAAAAACGACTTAAATGTAAATGTGTCAGAAAGGACAATGAGAGATTGTTCAATAAGTTCACGTCCATGAACAGTCTGAGTGCAACAGCATTTATAAAGACGCGTCTTTCATACGATCTCTGGCGTTCAGCAGCTCAAACATGTGTAATAAATGTTTAAAATGACGACAACTGTCTTGGGAAGGCTTGTGCTTGAGCCAGGGAACAACCACGGAATGAAAAGTGCCCAGAGGCCCCTTTTTGTTGTGCTTGCACTGTTGCCCTAAGTCTCTTTAGAGCTAAAGTGTGCCACCTTTTTTGTCCTGTATATTTATGGCCCCTTGTTTTGTGCAGGAGCAAGATGGAAGGGTCACGCTTCTCTCACTGCACCCCAGAGGGGCCGTCCTGGGGGCCCTTGGTCAGGGAAGCACATCACTGTGCATGCTTGATGGTGCGCAGTTTTGGTCATCATATCCACTGCCCGTCCTGGTCCTGGATTTTCTAGCAGTTATTTGGGAAACAACAGAGGACAGCTCAGAGGAGTGACAGTCGTGGCCAGAGTCCTGGTCAAGGTGTGAGAAGCTGTATACTTGGGTCTCCAAACAAGCCAGGCTGCCCACCTGTGTCTACCCACTGTCCTTGAAGCAGTCTGTGTAACCACACACTGGGGGACAAGTGTGGGAGGTACAGGTGAGTGAAGGAGGGCGAGGTCTGGACCACGAGGAGGGCACACCGATGCTAACCACTTCTGTCTCTTTGTCTGTCCATCTGATGCCTGGCTGCTTTGGGCGTGAGCCCTGCTGACCATGTAGGGACATAGCAGCCTCTTACTTCGCCTACTTCTGGTACTAAACTCTTAATCCTTTAAAAAAATATTTTAAAATACTTTTTAAAACTTAAAAGATTGATAAGGGACGATTAAAAATCCTTCACTCACCCCCCCCTTCCTCTTCCAATCAACTCTGGCACAATCTGAGCTGCTTGTCTGAGTGGCACAGAGCATTTTTAGGAAAAGAAAGTAAGTAAATGGTTTGGTCATAACTCTGGATTTCCCACCCATGTGAGTCACGTGTGGCCATGGCTGTGTCACAGAACCGCAGAATCTTAAAATTCACAGGTGGAAGGAATGAGGAGGCTACTAAGTCCAACCCCCTATGCTTGGGCGGAGAAACTAAGGCCCTGGATGGCAGGGGCTTGCCAGGGTGCATGGTGAGGCTCAGAGGACACACGCTTTAATGTGTGAAGACGGTCTGAAGGGTCCCGCGGACGTGGACCTGAAGTGTCCTGCTCTCCAAGGTCACACACAACTGTCAAGATCATTTGTGACGAAATGCCTGTTATTAGGCAACAGTGCCACCAGTCTTTATAAAAGGAGGACTGGTGTCTGGCTAATGGTGCCATGTTACCTCATCAATTTAAATTATGTTAGAGACTCAATTTCCAGCTCAATCAAAATAAAAAGTTGCTTCTTCTCCTTAAAAGATCTTACATTTCTCAGCCGGTCAGGCCCTCTGGTTAACTTTACATTAACAAACATCAGGTTTCTCTTTTAAGGACGCTCTTCCAGTGAATACTTGGGAAGCCAAACCTTTCAGTCATCAAAAGCAGAGCTCATGTGCTTTGTGCCCTGAAACCTGTCATCCCCTCCTACAATGCAAAACACCTGTGTGACGCACTAACACCTAATTAGAGACGGGACCCAAGGATGCTGAATTAGGTCACGGCCCAAGCTGCAAATACCCAGGAGATGCAGACGCTTTCTCATTAGTGAAGACAACTGAGGCTGAGGACAATCAGGGCCTTCCTGGCAGCTCTCATCTGGACGAGATTGCCTGCATCCCTGTCCAGTCCCTGTCCCTGCTCTGAGAGTGTTGCTGCTGCTGACCTTTTTAACCCTGGGTACCGAGTGAGCGGCTCAGCTAGCATGCAGCACCACACGCACCACAGACCTACAGAGGGCGGACGTGAAGGTGACATGGAGTCTGTATGTCAAGTCAAAGTGCACAGGCGACAAAATTCCCGCTTCACCCAACACTGGCTACCACCCCAAACTAGACCTGAGCCTGACACAAGCAGAGGAGACAATGAGTAACCTGCAGGACAGGACGTCCAACACTCCCCGTCGCGTCCCCTCAGGTGGGAAAGTAGTCACTTGCCAGTGACGAGTGTCCCCAGCTGGTGAGCCCAGAGTTTGAAAGAAGCCATGCCAGCATCTGGGAGAGGCGGGTGGTGCCCTTGCTCCCTCACTGAGATTAACAGCTAGGACCCCAGCCCCCTAGCACTGAATCGTGACCACTCCCCAGGCTGTCCTGGGCAATCGAGGGGCAGTACCTCCGGATGGCCACCGTGAGCGCCTCTGGCGAGCTGGCACAGGGACAGATGACCTCCTGGCGCAGGCCTTTACTTTGGAACACATTGAGAAATGCATCACAGGAAGAGATAGACCCTAGAGTGACAGAAGAAGGGATGGTTATCAGACTCGGAAACAACATCACTGATTAAATCACCCCATGGAGAAAAGGCACCATGGAAATACTTCACTTAGGACAGTGGGTCATCTGTGTTACCATGAAAGATGACAATCTTAAACCCAGAACTTAAGAGCTTACAAAATACAATTCTGTGCTTCATCGAAACTTATCTGCTGAGTTGATGAAGAACATTTCTGAGACGAGTCCTACCATTTTCAACATGTGTGTTCTAAAAGGTGATAAATCTAACCTCAACTCAGTGAAGAAAGCTGTATTGACTTCGATGACAGATCCAGGTATAATTACTAGGGACCTGTCAGCCATCGGTTTCCTGATACAAGTTTACCTGGCTGCATATGACAGGCCAACTGTGTGTTAAAGTAGCTCACAATTCATGGAGTCATTTTATAAATGGAGGATCATTTATAAAAGTAACAGTAACAAATTATGTTTGCAAGTCCACTTTTGCATATCAGATGTCCTTTAAGAAAGTATATACAGCTTTAACTTACAAATATGTACATTGCACAGTTTACACATGTGGTCAGAAACCAACATTTTTTTCACTCCATTCACTTTCATTCATCTCCTTTGCTCCTGGCTCATGCATTGCTCTGATAAAAAACAAGGTAGCTGAGATTCTGTTTCAACGGATGAACTACTTCTCAAGGTATAATAACAGTACGTGTGAAACTGCCAATTAACTTGACCTGGGTGGTTTTTGCTATAGGGTTTGATAATGAAATTCCATTAAAAATGACAAATTAATTTCCTGGTCAATAAAACTACTATGGACCATAAAATAATAAATTACATCCCAAGGAACTGTACACAGGGATTCCTTCATTTAATTCTCATAAAAATCTTATGATTTAGTTATCATTTGCAGCTAAAGAAAGAGAAGGATTAGAAAAGTGACATTCTCTACAGAAGCAGGAGGTAGGGAGCCAGGACTCAACCCCAGGCCCCTGTCACACCCAATGCCTCTGGCCTGTGAGTCATTCTGCTTGGATGTTATCTTAGGAAAACTTCTAAACTAAGGTCAGGACTAGGGAAAAGAAGGCCAGAGTGGAAGAGTGGGCCTGCGGCCTGCCCGCCTCGCCTGAGCAGCAGACATCACTTACAGGGGTTTGCACCATCAGCCACGATCAGCATCCGCAGAGAGGACAGGTTGATGTCTCTTTGGTCCCTGTGTGCCACCAACGCCCAGTGCATGTCCCTGGACTTGACACAGGCCACTTTTGCTGAGGGAGCAGCAGGGGGAGGGGGTTAATTTGCTTACTGCCAGACGTATGATATTAAAGAAGAGCTGGTGACAGTGGGGACAAGGGGCCATGCTGGGGACGCACCTTTGTACTGGCAGACTTTCTGGATCCAGGACAGCGGGTTCACCTTCATCAGCGAGTACGGGATGCTGATCACGTGCATCATGTTCATGACGCTCTGAAAGCAAGGACACACACGGCAGTGACGCAGCACAGAGCCTCCCCACCCGAACCAGGCACCGCGCAGGGACACAGCGGGAGGGGGCACCACCGGGTGCTTGGTGCGAGCTGATCCCAGTTCGTCTCAGAATGATCAGGAAGTGACATCTTAAAGGCTATCTAGTTCTCTCACTCCTGCTGGTCCTGACACAGTTAAAGACTCTAAGTGCAAATCCTGTTTTATAAAACATTCAGTTGAATGATCATCATTCATAGTCTGGAAGCTGATTCTTTCTAGTGTTTTATCGGAAAACAAAATTTCATTTATCAGGTGTTCCCCTGAGATGTCATGGAGTGGAGGGAGGTCTGTCTCCATCGCCCTCAGTTTTCCATCCAGCTGTGCTAATACAGATCAGACCTTCAGGGGCTCTTTTTAAACGGATGTGCGACCCAAACTCACTTTTAAAATAAATGGTTAGTCCCTACACGCTGCAGGAAGGACTCACACACCTGCCCAGATGTCCCTCGGGAGCAGGTAGTTAAGGGTCCGCCAAGTGGGAGCACTGACCACAACGCTCTGTGGCCGGCTCTGCCATGGCGACCACAGGTGGAGGGAATGCGTGCAGACGCGCATGTCCGAATCAGGACACTCTGAAGGAAACCAGCCCCCGTCGCCCTGGTGGCTCCCATCACATATGTCGTCACGGGACAGCATGCAGCTATCCGGCCAGAGACCCGCCATGCTCTAGGTCGTGGCCATGACAGAGCCTCCCGGGGCCATGCTCCAGAGCAGGTGAGCAGGTGGTGGCAACATCACCAAGGTCTAGCACAGGCCTACCTCAGGGACCTTGAAAGCGAGACTGTCACGAGAGAAACTCTGGTGGCAACACTAACAGCAGCTGTGACATCAGCGAGCAGGCAGAAGGACCACATGCACTTTACACATCCGGCCACATGGTTCTCACAGCATCGTCAGTCCCATCGGACAGACAGGGAAGCCGAGCTTCAGACCGATGCGGGCACGGGTGGCTGGCCTGCGGTCGCCAAGATGGAGGGCACAGCTGAGGCCCGAGCTGGGCTCTCGCTTCCTGCCCCTCCCGCGACCCCAGCATGGTGGCGTGAGTGTGCATGTGGGGTCATGCCTGTGCGCCGCCACCACAAGTGTCCATATGGCAGGAAGGAGCCACGTGGATCATAGCAAGAGGCCGCTGGGCGGCAGCTGCAGGCCTGTGGTTTCTGTGATGCTCACACGCTCCTGCTCTAATAAATTCTGATTTATCAAGAAACAACAGATCCCACGTTCTGCATTTACGTTCCGGTCAATCATGCAAGAACAACTGGATTTTTCTACTGAAGAGAATGTATAAAGTTTCAGCATAAGAAACTTAAAAACAAAACTGCGCGAGTGAAAATACCGCATGTAAACAGACATAAGGAGAGTCTGAGCAGTTATGCTACATTTTTTAAGTGCTAAACATACTTAAATAACGAAGTATTTCTCTATTAAATGTGCCTACAGCTTTGAACTGTCACTTATCAAGTGGCACCAACCGTAATGAGTCATGCATTTTCTACAACGCATGCTGAATTTTCATCAGGGGAGGTCAGGGCTTCCCCTGGAAGCAGAATGGAACAGTAGGTTCCCTCAATATTCATAAACACTGACTCACAGAGAGAGAAGGAACAAGAATGGTGTAGCCAAGTCAGACGTACGGGACAGTGACCCAACACAAGGCACTGGGAGTGGCACCAGGGGCCCGGAAGTGCCGGGGTTGGGGGGAGGTGCTGAGCTCCCCCAGCTGAGGAAGGCTGCCTCACAGCTGCGGCCTCAGGACATGGTGCGGCGACTCAGGCAAGAGGCTGTGAGACCCACAGAAGTTATGTTAGCTGACAACTCCAGACTTCTCACGACGACGGCTTGTCTTTATAATGTGTCAGGCAGGGGTTCACCCAGGCCGCTAAGGACACAGATCCTAATTCTGACTCTGACACGAGCATCTCCAAATGTAAGCAAGATGCAGCAGGCCCAGTGGTGTCACACTTACTGTTAGGATCCCGTGCCAGAGCCCGACGTCTTTCTTGAAATCCAACACGTTCACAATTGTTTCGGCTGTACAAACAAAAACAGTAGAGAGAGTTTTACTTACGAAAGTCAGCCACAGAACAAAGGGCAAAGAAAACCCAGCATCACATCACAGAACAGAGGGCAAAGAAAACCCAGGGGTCATGGTGTGTCTTGGAAAAACACCATTTCCCTGTATCTTTGTAGGAACTCTGCAGCCCATTTAAAAGTGCTGGCTGCCTGGAACACGTTCCGAGTGAAAATTCTGACGACATGCATGTCAGCAGCGGTGCTCGTCACACCACCACTTAAAGCTCCGTATCCTTCTTTTTATGTACTTTTCCCCCTGCCTGCCTCTTTACTTTTTTAAAGATTCTTTTCATTTCCATCACATGTTCTCCCAGGAAATGGGGAGGATGAGGCGACTTCCAACAAACACCGTCTATGGCCCCCCCAAAGCCTCAAGGTGGGGGGTGGGCTAGTAAAGGAGGCGAGGGCTTTGGAAGGACAGGGCACAGCGCAGTCAAAAGTTATGGCTCCTGGAAGATGGAGGCAACAAAAGGGAGCCAGAGATATATGGTTGAAAACAATGATGGAACGTGGAAGCTGCCACCAGCGATACCACTGAAGTCCTATTTATCATCTGGCCTGGGCAGGTGGCCCGGCTGCCCACACATCTGCCCCACACTGCCCGTCGCTGAGCCCAGGCACTGGCCAATGCCTCTTCTCACATTCCTACTTGTTCGTTCCAGCGACATTCCCAAAGGACAGCACCGTGTGCCTGACCTCCTTTCACAGAGGGACTAGCACTGGGGCTTTCAAAATAAACATGCTCCAAGGAAACAGCTTCGACTGCACTTTATACAGCGTTTAAGTTGAGAAAGAAGGAGCAAATATTTACTATATATTTGAATGTATGTATGTATGTATGTATGTATGTATGTATGTTTATATGTATGTATTCCCTCTCTGACCCTCCATAGGAATGACAACTTTAGACTTCAAAAAACTAGGGCAAGGAAACGGGTCATGAGGTTGTAAGAAATTAAACTGAAAACAATGACAAGCAGGATTCTAACAATTAGAGACAATGTGTCTCCAGGTGTGAAAATATCTGGGCAATGAGTCCAGGGACTGAACACCTCACAACAGGGAATTGTTTTAAAAAACGAGACTACCAGAGGATGGGAGAGAGAGAAAGAGTGAGGATAACAGAAGAAGAACAGCATTTCATCCTACAGTGGTGTGACAGATGCTACTAGCTTCCTTGGGTACCAGCCCCTTGTGTGCCCGTTACATCCCCAACACAGGGCCTGGTCACAGCGGCTCCAACCAGAGAGCCCGGGCCGCGCTGCTACCACGGTTCCCTCTGGCTACCCTGCCTACGCCTCCATGACCACCGCATTCAGGGGAGGAAAGTACATCATGAAAACTCACTGTCCCCAACGGTGGAGCCCACTCTCGGAGGTTTGGGCTCCACAGGTGGGCAGGCCCAAGCGTGGGCACGTTTTACTGCTGCCAAGGAGATTCTGAAGTGCGCCCAGAGGTGCATACACAGGTACAACTACCTGTTTGGGCCTGAGTCAGGCCCCCCAAGTTCACAGGTTGAAGCCCTGACCCCCAGTGTGACAGAATTTGGAGATGGAGCCTCTAAGGAGGTGACAGGTTAAATGAGGCCATAGAGTAGGGCCTGACCCAACAGGCCTGGTGTCCTCATGAGACGAAGACACCATATCTCTCCACACGTGAGGACATGACGGAAAGGTGCTGTCCGTGAGCCAGGAAGACGGCTCACCACCAGCCACCAGGCCTGATGGTACCTCATGCCAGACTACCAGCCTCTATAACTGTGAGAAATACTGTTTCCAGCCCCCAGTCTGTGGTGTTCGTTATGGTGGTTGGAGTGACTGAGACACTGAACAGTCCAAATTAACCTTCAGCTGAGCTGGGTGCCAAGTTAACATGACCCTCATGGTCATCAGCAGGTCAGCATGCATGTCACAGGCTGGGCTGGCAGTCAGGATCCCACCCATACCTTCTGTGTAGCCACACGCCTGCGTGAGGGCCTGGCAGTGGGTCAGCAGTGCGATCCTTGTCACGGTCACCCCAAGGACACTTCCATCCTTGCACGTCTTATACTGAAATGATAGAACATGGTGCGGACAAGTAGTACCAAGGGAACAAAGCAGGGGCCATATCCACCAGCTCTTTGGGTTAATGAAGAGGACATGTCACCATGGGAAATGCAGTGACTCGGTTCCCGAAGCTGCAGACCAGCGACTTACCTCGATGTATGCAGTGTCGTTATTCGCATCTTTAATGTGTGGGAACCAGTCTCGAGGAGGTTTGGAGAGATGTTTGGACTCTGTGACAAACCACAATAGCTTTGGCCAACCTTGGAAATAAAGGACACATTCCTTTTAGGCAAGTGTTTCCCTGAGGAGGGTGGAGTCACCTCCTCATGAGACACCGTGTGTCACCACAGCACCAGGTGGACCCTCCGGGTTGCCATCCAGCCACGGACACCCAAAGCCCTGTGCACCACACTGCAAGCTGGTGACACAGGATGTGTTATCCCAGACAGTCACGTGTAGGGAAGCATGTCCTGAAACACGTGACGCAGTGTACACGTCCCCAGGGAGGAGCCAGCCTTGAGCTGCCCTACCTTTGAACTGTGGGATCTCTCCTGTCGGGCTCTTCGGCAGTCCTTTGTGGCAGGCATCACTCGTCAAGGCGACTGTAACGCCACAGCTGCCAAGCAGGAACCCGATCTGCTGGCTTCCTGCGTCCTGGGAAAGGACAAAAGGGAAGAGGCACGAGGCCGAGATGACGGCTGCCCTCCTGGCCAAACCTGGCCTTATCCCTAGGTCCTGGGATGGAGCAGGCTTCCCGGAGTGGCCCGCGGTTCAGGCACCGACAGGATCTGCAGAAGCAGATCACACCCCAGGCTGCCGCTGGCTAGCTGCATGACCTTGGATGGGGCAGCTAGCTCGCATGGCCCCAGTGTCCTCATCTGCACTTGGGGTGAAGGGCAGAGCCAGCTCACAGGTTTGCAAGGGGAGATAAACCAGGGGCACATGCGAGTGGCCAGTGCATGGCGCAAAAACCCACAGTTCTGTGGGCTGTGACATAGGATGTAATGACTGGAGGACCGAAGGTCCAAGAAAGCATCTCGCGCTGAGCGATCACCAGATGCCAGATTTCAAACACTCAGCAAAGGGCTCTGCTCTTCTACCACATCTGGCATGGGGGGCCAGGCACCCATTCTCGATCAAAGAAATGGAGAGCTGGTCACCGTTGATCACCCCGAGGACATCCCGTTCCATGAAATAAGGACACATATTAGGCCATCTCTGTATGACATCGACTCTTGTGACACAGTACTGAAATCCTCCAAATGACCAAATGCTGTGAGTGGGGCAGCCATTGGAACCACCAGCCCTGTGAGTTTTGTCCCTTATTGTGTCCGGCTGCCCCATGGGAAGAGGGATGGCAGCATGGCAGGTCAAGTCGCTTTCTTTACTTCCACCAGCCACACGGGCTGTGACTCACACCGTGAAGGAACTGGGGTCCTAGAAACGTCATGACTGCAGTGACTTTGTCACTTCCCACCATCCCAGCTGGCTGTGCCTAAACCCACTGGGAGGCCAGACACCCGGTGCCACCTAGACAGGAAAAGTGTGAGGTGATGTGGTGTTTGCACCCAGGTAAAATCAGCAGCATTCACACCTTTCAGGTGTCATTTTTCGGGTGACCAGTGCCTCCTTTTCTTACTGTAGATTTAACCCCCAGGAGAAACCCCGTCTCTCTACGTGGGGCTGTGCACAGACAACCTTGGATGCCCGCGCAGCCCCAGAGGGCAGAGGTCAGGCACCTGCGGACAGAGACACATTTGGGGCTATTGCGGTACTCTTTCCTTCAAGTAACACTTCTGCACATAGAGTTATAATCACTCACTTCAATGTGAGGGTGGATATCACATCACCAACACTAATCACTCAGCCGGGACTAGGTCTGAGGTTAGGCTCAGCAGTGGGAAGGCATCTCTCGTGGGCGTGAGCTTGCCAGAGCGCCCAGTGCCTGCCCGGGCCTCCAAGGGTGCACGCTGGCTAGGGTAGAGGACCGCTGTCCCCAAACCCTGCCCTCTGATACCAGCTTGTGACCTGATGTCCAAAATGATGAAACCACAATGATGAAGAGACACCCCACATGCAGAGGAAGAGACGAGGGAGGGACAGTGACTAGGAGCAGGTTACTGTGGAGTTCGGACTGCACATCTGCCTGTCCCTTGGCTGCAAGCGCTTCGTGTCCTTGTCTTCTGGGCACTTCCTACTCGGAGCTCCAGTCAAACGTCGGCTCTGCAGGATTAGCTCTGCTCACCACAGCCATTGGGTTAAGTCCCTGTCACCTGCTCTCAGGGCAACCTGTGCATTTCTGTCAGGTACTGAGACCCCCAAACAAAAACATGCTTGAACCCAGAGCTTGGAGCAGAGCCGCCTGCACATAGACACACTCAACACGTCCACCATGGACACTGGGACAAGGACGACAGGATGTTGGATGTGCCCCGCATAGCCATCCACATGGCGCTCCGTCAGGGGGCAGCTGCCCCATTTCACTGCCCTCCCAGCGTGCATGCCGCCTGCCTGGGGCCTGCTCCCTAAAGAGCCCATCTGTCAAGGACGGCCACCGGTCAGCTCCTATCGCAGAATCTCGCTGATGGTTTTTCAGATGTCAATAACAGCTGGACAACACCGAATTCAAACCTTCCTCTTGCTTTCCATCTTTCTCCAATATGTAGAGTTGACTGTGTCACTTCCTGGGGAGCCGCACCTCATCACGGCCGCCCTGACAAGTACGTCCTCCAGCACTGACAGGCCACGTGGACACGCCATCATCTCCCCCAGTCCCGTCCTGGTTTTCCCATCAGAAAGCATCAATCACATCTGTAAAAAGGATTCTTGCACCAATAAGCATGAGGCAAGTTCATGCAAAGTCTCTCCCGTTAACTCGTTTTTGATTTGTGGCCCCACAACCAGCAGTGTTTATCCAATCTGCTTCTTGCCACTTAAATCCCAACTGATGGGTGGCTGGCTCTTGGGGGGCAGGTAAGACAATAATATGGAGCCCTGACGACAGCATGGGCTCAGATGTACTGTCTGCAGAGCCAACACAAAACCACTGCAGTCCGATAGGCTTAAAGATTATTATGGGCGTGGAGCCAGGTGGATCAAAGAAAGTGGACACAAGACACTCCTTATCAACACCAAGACGAACTAGTCCTTTATACAGGTGAGTATTTTGCCAATTAACTTCTAGGCTTTTTATTTATAGTGGAAACTTCCAAGCACATACAAGGATATATAGACAAGGAGAGAGAAATCTCAAGCACCATCACCCAGCTTCAACAATTATCAATGCTTGGCAAATCTGGTCTCACCGCAAACACACACGTGTGCACAAGCACACCGCCGTACAGTAAAACCCTGGATTGCAAGGAACGTGGTTTGTGAGTGTTCCACAAGATGAGCAAACATTTCTAATACATTTTAATGTGGTAAATGAGCAATGTCTTGCAATACGAGTAGTTTGTTTCCAGAATGAATTGTGCTCGCAAACCAAGGTATTGCTGTATTTTAAAACGAATCCTGCATGTGGGTGCAGCCTTTCGCACACCTTGGCTGGTGACTGTTGCCCAGGCAACCCCGTTTCCATCCCCCATGCCGGATCCCCGGTTCCCTCACTGCCTCTCCTTTCCTGAGGGAGGGGTTCCGTGACTGGCCACAGGAGGTTGTAAAATCATGACAAGACATAAATGGTACTCATTCCAGAGACATTCCATTTTAAAGGGATATTTCGAAACCTTTACTAAAGCAAACAGGTGGGTGCTAGAATTCTAAGGAGGGAGGACTGCAATCCATTGGGAGAGCGGGTCTCTGGTGATGGTGTTTCTTGCAGGACAGACCTCAGCCTGGACGGCAGCAGCACAGAAGCAAGAGCTGACAGGCCAGGCACTGGCCAGCTCTCCTGCGGCCCAGGGGCCATCTTGACTCTTGTCCTATTGTACTTAGAAGTCACAAACTGCCCCCATCCTGTCACACACACATGCCTGTAGCAGATCCCTTGTCCGCGACGGAAAGTTCTGGCTCAGCCTAGTTCCTGCGGCCGACAGATCTGCTGGCAGCCGGCCTTAACAGACCCACTGGGCCACTTTGACAGGGCTTTCCCAACGTGCTGTGACTGCCCAAGGGCCTGTCGTGGCACACACTGTGGATGTCCCCCCTTCCTCCTCCTGACACCCTGGCCAAACATCACGGGGACACCGACTCCTGCTGTGAACTCCTCCTGGGAAGGGAGCATGTACTGTCACCTCAGGAATCAGGAGGATACATGTATACAGGGCTGAACCGTTAGGGTTCTTAAGTGGCATCCAGTGTGCTGGGCACAGAGCTGGTGGATGGTAGTAGTCCCATGCATCACGGCCATGTGCACGGGCACATCCGGCCCCATTCTCCACTACAACCGAGCCAGTGGTTCTCACAATCAGGGTCAAGTTCTGGGGTCTCAGAGCCTGAGTGACAGAGGGGACCACACCACAGCCGTCAGCTCCATCCCTGGGATGATATCAGACTGTCTTGTGACCATCAACATCCACACCAGTAGGTGTCCTCCCTTTATCCTTCTCCTGCAGCTACCGTGGCCGGAGTGCAGACGAGCAAGTCAGTGACATGCACGGAGGAAGGCGTGCAGGTGAGCAGGACAGTGCCTCATTTCTTCTCACACTGCAGGTGGCCCTAAACCACGCAGGGCCACATCCGTGCATTTTGTTGCACAGATACCACTGCTGTTTTTGATTTGCAGTTTGGGGACTGGGATCCGCAGATCCAAAGGCTGACTGTGTGCAGGATCTACGCCATGTTACCTAGGGGACCTGAGCATCTGCGAATTTGGGGTCCTGGAAGCCATCAAAGGACAACTTAAGTTTTCAAGGAGTCAGGTTACATGTGAATTTTCAACTGCATGGAGGGGGGAGGGGAGGTCGGTGCCCCAACCCCATGCTGCTCAAGGGTAGACTGTATAATTATAACAGCAAGGTTTGACATTTACTCTAATCGTAGAATGAGAGCTGACAAACTATAGGCGAACCTGGGATTTATTAATGTCCAGACAACTGGACAAAAGCAAAAACCACCAGCACCTGAAATAAGCAAAAACACTGCCATTTTAATAATGGTGAAAACAAAGAAAACCACCACCATTTTAATAATGGCAGAAAGAAATAAAAACACCACCATTTTAAGAATGGCAGATAATAAAACACCTGCCATTTACTCAGACTTCCAGTGTCACTATACTGAGGGACAGGATACCCAAATACTTGTTTGACTGACAGATTACTTGGCTCAGTGCTGTTACCCGCACACACTCCCACTAAATCCTGCCGCTGAGCTGAGTGTGCAGCTACTGTCCCCTTTCATGAGGTGACTGCTAAAAACCTGGCACCTCCGACACAGGAAAGCCCTGACCGTCTTGATCCACATACTTCTGAGGTGGAAAGCCATTTTCAAACCAGCCTCCTGCACAACCCAACCTCATGACACAACGTTCCAGTACAGCCAAGCTGGCATTCCTGTTCACAGGCTTCAATGACAAACACGTCCGTTACCTTTCTCGTGAGTGGGACCTCGATGGGCACGGGGACGACCTCGGCCAACAGGCAGCCGTAGAAGGCCACCATGGACGCAGCAGGGTCATTGTTGGGGAACACCAGTGCCACCTGGAGGACACAGAGGGAGGGGTGTACCGTGAACATGGGTGGGCTTTAAAATACCCAGGAAAGATGCAACCACCACGCACAGCAGGGTTCCCGTTCCCCACTGGAATGGACATTGGCACAAACATTCGGTGCCCTACTTAAAAGCACGTGTTAGTAAGGCATGTTGTAATAAGTAGCATACACTTTTCCTTTAATGCACGTGAAAGGCAAATATTACCAACAGTCATTCCTAATACTGTACTGGAATACAGCTATCCTTATTTTTTGCATCCTATCTTCCACATTGACATATTTTTATGGAGAAGAAACTGTAGAACACGCACTATTTTGTTTCCCACTATTTATATTAGGCTTTATAAACACGTCCTCATGTTTCCACGTGGTCTTCACAAAGCTAATGAATGCTGACCATTTCCTCCCCAGTGCTGGGTAGGCAGCTGGACACACACAGGACAGCTCAGGTCCCCAACAGTCTTAGTGCTGGGACCTCGGGCACAATTTTAGCCCCTCTACACCTTTTCTCATCTGAAAAACGAGAACACTAGTAGACCCTACATCTTAGCATTGTGATAAAGGTTCTCAGTCAGGTTAATCTAAATTATCATGCAAATAAATAAATAATGGGTAGTATGATTTTAAAATATTTTCTGACAGCCCTGAGGGTATCCTAGTGATGGACAATTTTCCACGGGATGGCTTCTAACTACCATTCCTTGTAGGAATGGCTTTTCCTTTCCCTGCCTATTTATCTGCTAGTGTTTTGACACTGCCCCTAAAACCTGGATGAACTTTATATGTATTTGAGAGTTTTACCTATTATATTTGATGTACAGACTTCTTGGGATAACATTTCCTGTTTTATTCTTATTAGTGCACTTAATATTTTATGTTAGTTTGCCAAACCTTTCCTTTATCGCCCATTATTTAACAAATATTTCATCCAATTTAAATTCATTAGGAGCTCATTTTAAGGTCTGTAGTGTAGCTAACTTGCATTCTAGTCACCCAGGGCTCCTTCTAGAGTAGCCAGCCAGTCGCAGCCAGTAGCGGCTGCTTGCGTTAGAAGGCGGGCTGTCAGTGTGAAGCTGGAACACAGTCCTGTCCACCTCCTCTATCCTTTGCAGAGTCCTGCTTCATATCAGCAGGCACCCCTCCATATGGGTTTGGTGTGTTTTCATAAGCACATCAATCCCATGACTTAGCACATGCACCTCACTCAGGAATTTAATTAATTTCTTCTTTAAAAATGTCCTAACTAGAAGTTATTAGTTTTGTATAAACAGCTGGATAAAACCCTCAATCTCAATATTGAAAGAGGCAGGTTGGCATAAAAGGATTGAGATGGCAGCTGAGAACAGAGCAGGCTGTATCGTAAATGTGGCCATGTTGGCAATTTAGCAACACTGACGTTGGTGGGAATGAAATTAAGTTTTATAAGACTCCATTTCTCTATGGCATTCCTGAAGTTTACTGAAATCAGCTAAATGAGAGACAAACAAAACTGTAAGGCCAATAAAAGCCATTCTGCACTACTGGTGAATTTTATTTGAGAAACCCGGTGAAGTAATTGTTAATTAGATATTAATCCTTATTTCATCCCAATAGCACCCAGACCAAGACAGATGGCAAGCTAACACCAGAGGACTTGCAAGGAGGAATAAGAGGACTTATTTGTATGTCTGTGCATACGAACCACAACCATTATTTTTAAAAACGATCTGAGGTTTGCACTGGCCTCAGGTGTTCTGCCTTCAACTGGTGGGCTGAGAGTGACAGTGTCTGTTTTTAGATCTGGACCTGGCAAAGCAGCAACATGCAATTCAATGTCTGCAGATCTTTCCGGGCACCACTGTCACATGACTTCCTTCCCCAAAGTGGACTGCAGCGTTTGAGGATGCTGATCAAACTGCAGTAAAAATGCAGAAGACGCTGAAGTTCCATCCAAGACTGACGGTCTCACCCATTCACGAGGGACCAGTTAAACACTGACTTGTTCTTCTAGAATATCCTTATTCTGCAGGCAGGAGTTCTTGTCACAAGCAGAGAACCAAGAGAAAAAAGGTGACCCCAGAGCCAGGCTGGATCGATCCTGTTTGTGAGAATCAAGTCTGGCTCTGCTTAAAGGAAGAGTGACTTGATCCAAGACTCAAATTCCCCACTTTCCTACTAGTTTGTGCAGATAATGCTGGAGTACAGAGCCTTGCAGAGTTGTGTTAAAGCAGGATGAAATGCTACATTAATGTAAAATGAATAAAAGTGGAACATAAATTTCTACATTAGATGCTCTCAACACATAAAAACAACGGACAGAAAAGGTTCCTTTAGAATCAAAACTGAAAATTTTTTTGCAATTTGTGTTTTGGAAGGGAAGTCTACTTATATAGTTCTCATTAAGTCTTCCATTAATATCTGACCAGTTATGAGTCCTGCTATCGGTGAATCCAATCATTCCAGCACAACACCGTCAAGAAAAAGGTGCTTCCTTTCCCTAAACCCACATGGTTTCCCTTCACTTGATTCTCTGCATTCCTCCTACATGTCATTGTACCTACCTATCCACAGAGCAGAACGGCATGAACAAATGAAGAAGCGGGAGCCCATCTGGCATTTGCTAAGGTTTAATCCCGTTGAGCTGAGCCCATCTTCTTCCCAGGCCAGCCCTATACTCCAAGTCATGGCTTGTTTCCCGACCACAGGCCCTCAGCTCCTTCCCATGGTCTTCCTGGAACTGAGCCCAGAGCTCACCGCTTACTTCTCCCCAAGAAGACTTCTCGGATCCCAGATGCTCCCAAAATGAAAGGGACTTCTCCTTCCCAACAGTTCAGCTGTATGTCTCATCACCTTCTTTGAGGACCTGTATCCCTTTGCAATTTGTAGAAAAGCTGGTTAAAACGTGTTTAGTTTCTAATACCCTGGCTCCCTAAAGGCAGGCTCCACACATACTATGTCTCTGTAGCCCCCATGGCCCTCCTATGACGTCTTGACACCCGGTCTCTTAGGCCCAAGAGGGAGGGCACTCCCTAGACTGAACTAAGGGTCACCCACATGAAAAGTGTTTGCAATTAATGTTAAGGACTGAATGTTCATTATTCTGGGAAAAATTATGTTTAATTCCAAAACGATTTTTGAAGAGGGTTGAGAATCTTGTGTATTGCAACAGAAGGTTTTTATCGATTGAATATATAGCTATGCATGCTTATTTAGTAAGCACTTACACAAACATGCCACATAAATCATTTTTAAGGAATAATTTAGAAAGTAGTCCCCCTCATATAACTCAAACCAGCCCCTGACAAAAACATCCCTTTGCATGTGTTCTTCTCTCAGAACTGCATCCCACATTCCTATAAACATCTTGATTTGGCAGTTTGATTTGTAATTATAAGGGAATGTCAAGAATCTACAGGCCATACTACAAAAGCATTTTTTTAAAAACTACTAAGACTTTTAACCAAATTACAGATAAGGGAGACATGTTACAACTGACTTTTTCTTTTAAACCGATAAAATATATATGAGGTGTGATCAAACAATATGGTAAATGTTTAAATAAAAAAAATTTATTACAGTAAAAGACACATTGCCATTAATTCCCCTCAAAACGCTCCCCCTCGCTTCAAACACATTTGTCCCATCGTTCTTGCTGCTTTTTGAAGCAGTTCTGGAAGTCCTCTTTTGTGAGTGTTTTCAGTTGTGCTGTTGTGGCTGCCTCGATGTCCCGAATCTGGGGAGGAGCCAGAAGTTGCACGGTGCCAGATCCTGTGAATAAGGTGGATGAGGATACACTGTAATGTTTTTATTGCTGTATACCAGAAGCGATGTATGACACAGAGTGTTGTCATGATGGAGGACGATTTACGGCACATTTTAAAACACACCTTCTCTCAACCGTAGCTCACACATGACTAGTTAGTTTGCATCAAACAAATTGAAACTTGTCACACACTGTTACTAAGGTTCAATGCACCACTTCCTGTATTGAAGATTCCTGCCTTTCCGTTAGATGGCACTCGGCAGCAGCATTCACCATATTTTGTGATCACAACAGAAAGGTTCTGTGTCACACATTGCTTCTGGTACAGCAATTTCTGTCAAATAAAAACATTGGAGTGCCCTCATCTATCTAATTCACCAAATCTGACACCATGTGACTTCTGGCTCTTTCCCAGTCAAAATGATTCAGGACATCAAGGTGGCCACAACAGCGCAACTAAAGGTATTCACGAAAGAAGACTTCCAGAACTGCTTCAGAAAGTGGAAAGAATGATGGGATAAGTGTGTTTGAAGCGAGGGGGAGTATTTTGAGGGGGATTAATGGCAATGTGTATTTTACTGTAATAATTTTTTAATTTAAACATTCACTGTAGTTTTTGATCACACCTCATATAAAAAAGTTGACCATCTCAACTATTTTCAAATGTACAGTTCATAGGTATTAAGTACATTTGTAGGAAACCATCACCACTATCATCTCGAGAACTTTGTCATCTTCCTAAATGGAAACTCTATCCCATTAAACACTTACCCCCCATCCCCCCAACCCCTGGTAACCATCATTCTGAGTCTCTATGAATTTAACTACTCTAAGTGCCTCACAGATGTGGGATCACATAATATTTGTCTTCTTGTGACTGGTTTATTTCACTCAGATAATGTCCTCAAGGTTCATCCATAATGTAGCCTATGTCTGAATGTCCTTCTTTTTTAAGGCTGAACAATATTCCATTGTATGGATGGACCACATTGTGTTGTCCATTCATCTGTCCATGGACACCTGGCTGGCTTCCACCTTTGGTTTGTGAATAACACTGCTGTGAACATTCGTGTAGAGACATATGTTCAAGTCTCTGCTTTCAATTCTTTTGAAATTGAAGTAGAATTGAACCAAATGGTAATTCTATGTTTAGTTTCTAAGAAACCACTGTACTCTTTTGCACAGCAGCTACACAACTCTATATTCCTACTGCAATGTATGAGGGCTCCATTTCTTCACATTCTTGCCAACACTTATTATTTTCTACTTTTGATAATAGTCATTCTAGTGGGTGAGGTGGGATCTCAGTGTGGTTTTGATTTGCATCTCCCTGATGATTAGTGACATTGAACTTCTTTTCATGTGCCTATTGGAAATCTGTAAATCTTCTCTAGGGAAATGTGTATTCAAGTCCTTTGTGCATTTTTAAACTTTTTTTTTGTTTTAGTTGTTGGGCTGTAGAAGTTCTTTATATATTCTGGATACTAATCACTTATCAGATACATGATTTGCAAACATTTTCTCCATTTTTTTTTTAAAGATTTTTATTGGGGAATTGGGGGATGGGAACAGCCCTGGGGAATTGGGGGAAGGGGAACAGACAAGTTGCTGTCCTTTTGTTCTTCAGTCTAGTTGTGGAGGACGTTGCTTCACTAGCCTAAG